GGCCGGATCCTGGACTTTCAGCCTCCAGGACAGTGAGAAAAATTTCTGTTGTTGCAAATTCCCCAGGCTGAGATATTTTACTACGGAAAGGACAAAGACAGTTGCCATTCCTTGGCCCTGAAGTCACCAGTGTATGGCAGGAGGTCCCAAGAAGGCAGCTCTGTGGTCATCTGTGGGTGGAGAGAGCACCTGCAGACAGCATGGGGAAAGTCAATACCATCCCCTCTAGACCCCCATTTCCGGGCCTCTGCTTGGTGTCTTTGCTGCACACACCATTGTCACCACGGCCTACAGACACCTAGACAGGTAAAGATGTGCACTCCTCCAGCACAAGCATCTAGAGAAAGCGCAAGGAGAGGGGGGCCCTTCTTGGCCAGGGAAGGCATCTTTGAAGAGGCCACAGCCGCTCTGAGACAGGGAAAATGAAAAGCTGGTCATGTGATGGTCCAGGGGACGGTCTTCCAGGCAGCGGCGACCCTACCACTGAGATCCTAAAATGGGAGGGCTTGGCTTTTAGGTGCTCACAGGAAGCTGGTACTGGAGCAGGGGAGGAAAGCATGAGATGCGGCTAGAGAGAGGTGCAGAGCCTTTGGATCGTCTTCTAGTGGGATGGGACACCATTGAGGACTTCACTCTGTGTGGAGGCCAGGCTGTAGCCTGAGCCATGTCCGGATAAGAAATGGTGGAGGGGGCTGGTGAGACGCCTCAGCAGGCAAAGGCACATGCTACGCCTGGGGACTTGGGTTCCAGCTCTGAAACCCACAGGGTGGATGGAGAAAACCGACTCTTGCAAGCTGTTCTCTGCCTGCTACATGAGGTGCTGCGGCAAGCTCACCCTACCACTTAAGTAAAACGAAAACCAAGTTGTATTTCCTTTTTCTTCTTCCCATTTAAAGCGACGGTGGAGGCGTGGACCAGGGTGATCGCTGCAGGGAAGAAGAATTGGCTTTTGGACATGGGGGTTGAGAGGAAGAGTCAGGAAAGACTTTTACATTTCCTTTTGACTGAGAAACAAACTGAATAGAAGGGGAGAGAGAAAAAGTCAAGAGTAATTTTGGCGGAAGATATCAACAATTCAAGTTTAGGTCATCATGGCCTCCAAATTCTAGCTCGTCTGTACCCAGCAGGAGTCTGGTGGGTAAAGAGAATGTCATGAGAAAATGTGCAGGAGACCAGGGCTGTAAAAGGCACACATCTGGGCCACTGGACTCTAGAAATCCGTGTGCAGCCAGCCTGACTTCCAATGGCTCTCCTCTCCACCGTTATACTGTTTGTTCCCCAGAACAGATTTAAGAGCCTCCGTCGGAGGTCCAAACACCAGACCCTAGCCTAGGGCCCCAGCATGGAGCTTGCTTGGGAGCAAGAGCAGCTTTTGGCTGAGTACACACCGCCCCCTAGTGGCCAAATGTTCTGCATCTCCCATTTGTCCCTACAGTGAGACTACGCCACACCCCGTGCCCTGACACAGCCCAACTAACACAAGCTATATTCCCATCTAACTGGCTTTGGGAAGCTGGAAGTCACAGGGTTAGAGGGGACAGAGGTCTGAAGGGCGGGGTGTGTGAGCGCGGGCCCTCACCTCCTGGATCTGCTCCTTCATCACTTTGATCTCATTCTCCCGAGGCTCTATCTGCTTCTTCAGCTCCTTTATTTTGTAGTCGAGGACAAACTTGAACTTCTCCAGCTCTTGGTTCTTCTTCTTCAGATCATAAATTCGCTTCTCCTGGAAGTGAGATGAGAGAGAAGGAGAAGTGAGTAGGGGCACAAGACGCTGTCACATGGAACCCCTCTAGGTTAGAAAACACAGAGTCTGTGCAGGAGACACAGACTTCTGGCCGGGGGGTACAGAGGTCGGTACAGGCCGTAGCACCGACTCCACAGAACTCACACACTCACTCACTCTTGTGTAGGTTGTGGAGGATGGTGTCTAAGTTCTTCTGCATTATGGCCTTGGTGTGACTCTGCAGCATGTAGAATTAGTTCCCCTCTCTTGTAACTCACAGGACTTATGACTTGCTTTGGTAACCCAAAAAATGCAATGGAAGGAATGTTGTGTGGCTGCCAAGGCTAGGTCAAACAGACAGACAGCTCCCCGCCTGGCTCCCCTGGGACACTTGCTGTGGTGGAGGCTAGCTGCTATGTAAGAGGTTTAAGCACCCTGAGCCCTCTGGATAGGGAGAGCACATTCAGGGCTCTGTGGCTGAAAGACTCAGATGAGCCCCCTCACCCCCGCCCCTTACCATCCCTGCCACAGGGGATGGAGCGGGGCATGTGGAAGAAGCAGCCACGGTGGGCAATCATCTTCCAGCCTGTAGCTGTTGGAGGCACCCCCAGTTTTCCCAGCTGAGTTTCCAAACATCGGGGTCAGAGACCAGCCATCCTGTTGAACCTTGTCCAATTCCTGCCCCCAAGAGGACAGCATCACAGCTGTTTGTTTGGATCACTGGGTTTTAAGATTGTCACCGGAGCGTGGGTCCATTAAGCAAACCTGGACTGGATGACATTTTCCTGTTACAGCTCTGAGAATGATCCACTCCCCATCCTTAAGGCAACAAAACAACCCCCAATAATAATAATAATAATAAAACCACTGACTGGTGGGGGCAGATAAACAAACACAACCCCAAAATGTGATGTGTGGCGGAAGGGAAAGGGACATGGGCATCGTGGCGTTTGTACTGCAGCAGCAGAGAGCAACCACTTCATGTGATGTGCTGGTTCCAGGGGAGTTAGACAGGAGGCTGGAGGGGGAGGGGAGAAAGGCAAGGCTTTGGCCTGCTGGCTTCCAGAGTTCAGAAGTCATCCCCGAGGCTAGGAATTGCCAAGCTCAGCCTAGGAGCCAAACTTGACCGCTGCCTGGTTTTGGCCATTTCAGTTGGAACATGGCCTAGTACATTGGTGTCTATTTTGTATCTGGGTGGTCTCACATGTGATACCCAGAGCTGATTAGTTGAGACAGAGACCATGCGGCCTGGAAAGCCTGAAGTATCTACTATCTAATGCTTTGTAGACCTCTGCTGTGGGCCAGGGGAAGCTACTGAAGGCTTTTCAGTGGGAGAATGTCCTAACTACACTTGCACCCTGTCAGTTGGACTGCTGCGGTCCTGGGTGGGAACTGGGGAGGCTGCTGGACTAAGAGGGGTTATGAGTTTCTGCATTCAGAGCACTTGGTTTCTTTCTTTCAAGTCCCCCCCCTTGAGAATCTGAAGAGGGCTCTGTCCCTTCTCCAGAGCCCACACCTTATACAAGACTTCCTTCCTGTTCAGAAACAGTATGCAGGCACTACCTCACCCAATCTTTACGAGTTCCCATGCCCCAGGAGAGAACAGGATGGCTTTAAGAAGTTGCCCAAGGCACAGTACCTGGTCAACAGAGGGGCCTGTGCCGGAACCTACTTATCTACCACTGAAACCCAAGTTCAGTCTCAGGAGAATTCTGTCTGGTGAGGCAAAAGATGCAGAGTGGATAGAGAGGTGTGCAGGGGATCTGGGTTTGCTCAGAAGGATAGCAAATCCTGGATGTTGAGGTGGTGTGCCCACAGAAAATATATGTGCCTGTTAGCTGAATATTCTGCACAAAAGGCATTTCCATCTTCCTGGGTTACCCAATAGTTATAGGACCAACCCTATGGGGGTCCCCTTCTGACCAGCAATAGCAATACACTATGGGCAGTGTGGCAGGTGAATTACCCTCGGCCCATAAAGTGGGCCATCCTAGGATGCCTGGACCAGTGGAGAGCAGGAATCTGGAAGCCAGGTGGCTCAGGTTCTTACCTGAGGTCTACCCCCTACAAACTGTGAGACCTTGGGCAGTAAACTCAGCCTTTTGGCACTTGGCTTCACGAGACACAACCCTGGGTTGCTCATGCCATGAGGTTGCTGGTAGAACTGAGTGTGATGTGTTGGCATGGATTAGCTCCATGCCAAACACACAGTGGGCACTTCATAGACCGTTCTTCCTCCACCAAATCAAGCAAATGATCTCTGAGAAGCCAGGACCCTTCCAGCTCTGTCCAGGTCTCTCTGGGCAGTGTCTGGGGAGAGCAGAGCGTAGCCCTTACCTTGTCTTGAATGGTCTCATCCCTCTCCTGGATCTCTCTCTTGAGGCCCTGGATGTCCTTCTCCAGGGACTTGATGACACCCTGCAGCTTCATCTGCTCCGCCTTCAGGATCTCGATGTCATTGGTGCGCTCTTCGATTTCCTTTTGCAGGCTGCTGAACTGAAGATGTGGACAGTAACAGTGGAGATCCTGGGGTCTTCGAGTTGATTCCCATCCCCCACCTCAACTGTGGATGGGGCTGGCCCTCCTCCAGGGAGCTAAGAACCCTCATCACTCAACATCCATGGGCTTTGGCGAGTGGATTTTGTTATTGCTGTTATTTTACTTTTTTTTTGGGGGGGGGGGCAGAGGAAGCAGCCTTTTTGTAAATCGAGAAATAGATTTTGTCCATACTTGAACATTTCATCCCTGCACACAACGTACTGTGGTCATATTCACCCTCAGTACTCTGTCTTCCTTCCCTCCTAGCTCCGCCACACACTTTCCTTCTCACAACTTGGCATTCAACTTTCCTCTGTCTTTCTTTCGTCCTTCCTTCCTTCCTTCCTTCCTTCCTTCCTTCCTTCCTTCCTTCCTTCCTTCCTTCCTTCCTTTCTTTTTTCTTTTTACTGAGACACATTTTCTCTGTGTAGCCTTGGCTGTCCTGGTACTCTCTTTGTAGACCAGGCTAGCCTCCAACTCAGAGGTCCACCTGAGTGGACCTCCACCTCCCTAATGAGGCATGCACCACCATTGCCTGAGCTGTTTCCCTCCGACTTTAAGGAAACAAGTTCTTTTTATGTAGTCAGACTGGCTGTGAACTCGCAACCCTCCTGCCTTAGCTCCTAAGTACTGGGATTACGGACATGGGCTATTATGCCAGTCTTATTTGTCTGTTTCAGAGAGGGAGTTTTGGGAGAATTTGGGACAGTTCAGTATTTTTCCAGGTCAAATGAATGATGGGAGTATCCAGCATAAGGATGCCTAAGTCTAGTCCCTGCAGGACAGAGCAATCCAAAATGCTTTAGAAAGAAGCTTTCTAGATGGACTCAGATTCTTCCAGACTACACTGACCTTGAGAGTTGGTTAAGGTCACAGAGATGAGGTACTGTAGCCATGTCCAAGAAGGCAGAGCCTGATTATCCCGGGAGTCACTAACATTGCGATTTCTAATGGGAAGCTTTGATTCCCAATGGGCTCGCTCTGAACTTAGCTTCTCTGTGGCTAACCATCTCAGAAGAAATGAAGCAATTCCACAAGGATCTGTGAATCCCATCCTCTCTCTCTGAGCCATCAGAGAACTAAGTAGCTGCCTCACCTTGCAAACAAAGCATCTTACACCTCCCACCCCTGCCTTACACCTCCTTATACTCCCCCTCTTCTTAGGAGGAGTCTGAGCAGGAGCTGCCTGAGCCAAGATGTCTCCAGGCTGAATCGCTGCCTGTCTCATCCTCAGACCGTATTTCCACTTCCAGCAGATCCTACTGGTCCAGAAAGGAAAAGTCAGAGCATCCTGTGCACAGGGAGCCCATGAAAGGAAAGGAAGGAGTCAGGTACGGTGGTACATTCCTGAAATCCTAGCACCTGGGAGGAAGAGGCAGGAGGATCAGGTGTTTGAGTGCTGGGTTCGACAGTGAGATCTAAGCCAGTCTGGGATACACAGTAAGATCCTGTCTCCTGCCGATTGCTCCCCTAAGGAGGAGGGAAGCCAGCTGTGGTCCTTTCTGAGGGTGGAGCCCCTTTGCCCTGGAGGTGGGAGCTCTGACTACTTGCCCCTTGCTCCCAGCCTCCTCGGGGATGCTCCCAGGGCCCACCCGAGTCACCGAAGGGCAGCCCCACCTTCTTCCTCATGATGCCCGTCTCTCCCTTGAGCCGAAGGTTGGATTCCTTCTCGTCCCGAAGCTTTCTCTCGTACTTGGTTTTGATGTCTTGGATCTCTCTGTCTTCATCTTCTTCAATCTGCTTCTTGGTTTCCTCAAACTCGCGAAGCTGCTGTCGAACGTCTTCCTGTGCCTGGCTCAGAGGGAGGGAGAGAAAGAGCGTGCTGGGAGAAGGGGCTGGAGGTGCTGGGCTAAGAGAGCCTGGGACACCCAGAGCACAGGAGTCTTTCTTGTGGAAAGGAAGAGAAATCAAATTACAGAAATGGAAGCCACTTCCTTCCTGTCTTCCTTCTCTCCTGACCAGGTCAGGCCTCAGGGTCCACCACCTTCTCTACCTCTTACCAGTACCCCATATCCTGTGTGCCCTGTTGTACCCCTGCTTTTCACACGGCACTCAGGCTTCAGACGCCCCTCACCCCCCCCCTTTTTTTTTTTTTCAAAACAGGGTTTCTCTGTGTAGCTTTGGCTATCCTGGAACTCACTCTGTAGACCAGGCTGGCCTTGAACTCAGAGGTCTACCTGCCTCTGCCGCCTAAGTGCTGGGATTAAAGGCATGCACCACCACCGCCCGGCCCAGACAGTTTTAGAGAGTTTGGACCACTGAACTGTATTTGTAAATTTGGTTACACCCCACCCCCCCAGATGAGAACGCCTTGAGGGTAGAAACCTTGTCTGCTGCGCCCACACTGGACTCCCAGGGCACAGTGCCTGTGGCACACAGCAGTTGCCGGGCAAATGGCTTAACAAATGAGTGGTTCTAATTACCTCCCCACCCCCAAGCCAATCCATGCTGCCCTTTTTCTCAGAAAGGGAGGCAGAGCTTGGCTCCCCGGGATCACCTCTTCTAGAAGGCTAGTTTTCTCCTGGAGTTTGGCCTCGTAGAACTCAGTCAGCTCCTCCAGGGCCTGGCTCTTTGTCTCATCGTTGTCTCGGAGCTGTTTTTCGTACTCCTCCTGCATCCTCTGGGACTTGAGCTGCAGCTCCTGATACTTCTCATATTCTAGGAGCAGCTTCTGGTTGTTGCAACACTCTGGAGAGAGACAGGCGGGTCTGCATGCTGTGCGGGCAGGCTGCACCAGCCTTTGGAGCACGTATGACCCCCGAGTGCTTTCCTGCTCCTCCCTTGCCAGCTGGAGCTCACCTCCACCAGATCCAAGGTTCAAGCCTGCCTAACTCCTGTGACTGCCCTGCTTCTATCTTACCAGGTGGCCAAGCTCCCTGCACCCAACTCCAGACAGAAAAATCATTTCTATGAAGGTCCTGGCAGGAGGCATTTGAGGTTTCAGGGTCAGGAAAATGACCCGAGTATGCAATACAGGTTTTATAATTCCATTTTATAGATGACCAAGCTGAGCCTTGGTAAGGCTAGGTGATACCCCAGAACACACAGCAAGCCGGTGCTGAGACTGGAGCTCTGTCAGGCTCCAAACCTGAACCTGCCACTGGCACGTTTGTATTTTGAGGAATGGGCAAATTCACAGAAGGAAAAACCGTGGTGAGTTTCAATAAAGTAGTGCATTCGTAGACAGAGCCCAGAGCCACGTTCCCTGAGCCACGTGTCGGGGGGGGGGGGGGGGGGGGAGGGGCATCTTTCAGACGGTCGGTCCTAAGCTGCCTGTGCCTCAGCCATGTGGCTCCCCTTTGTGGCTCACCCAGGTCTTGCAGCTCCCGGCTCTGTTTGTCCAGGAGCTCTTCTATGTGTTCTCGGTGATGAACGTCCTGTTTTTCTTTCTCTGTTTTTAAAACCTGAAACAAAGAGTCACCTTTTCTCATTTCTACACATTTGTCAAAGGCACCAATAGGACAAGAGCTGCTTTTACTGGTAACATCTTCATTCATAAATTTTTCGCAAACCCTTGCTTTGTACCAGACATTGTTCTGCTGAGCCATGACCACATGGGCATCTTTTATCCACATCCTATTTGGCTCTGAAACGTCTATGCTTTTCTCTTTATGCACACGTGGTAAAATGGATTTGTCAGCAAAGGCTTTTGGTTTGGACACGGATCAAGTAGATTTTTAAGGAGAAAAATCAGGGATTCATTCCAATCATCTACTGCTGATAGCTGGGTGTGGTGGTGCACACCTTTAATCCCAGCACTTAGGCAGAAGCAAGCAGATCTCTGTGAATTCGAAGCCAGCCTGGTCTATACAGTTCCAGGCCAGCCAGAGCTACATAGTGAGACCCTGTCTCAAAAAGCAAAGCAAACCAACCAACCAACCAACCAACCAACCAGAAAGCCCCCAACAACAGCCCCAGTTGTATACTGCTGGCACATTGCTGTCAGTTCAGGATGCCTACATGTACGTACTGATCTCAGCCAGCCAGCTCCTGGCAGGCTGAGGGTACCATCCTGGGGCCTGGCTTTGTGTTTGGCTTATGAACAGCATGGAACTAACACTTGATGCCTGGCTGAATGAATTATAAATAAATGGATGAATAAATTGAACAGCCAAGGGCTTTTCAACCAAACAGACCCATGAAGATAGGTTACCAGTACAACCACTCCTTGAGCCAAAAGATGGGGGGTTGTAGATGAGGGGGGCTGGCAGACTTGGCATAGTATAAAGACAGGCTTACAAATTCTGGGGCCAAGTCTAACTACAAACTGTTAAGACAGATTTTATTTTTGACAATCTAGAAATCAACACACCTGCTAGTCCCTCTCTCACACTCTTGTTACTTCATTTTTAAAAAATGAGTTTTCCCTGGTCACAAAAATAACTAATTCTCACCGTAGAGAATCTGGGAATTCCCAAAGTGTATTAGAAACAAAACTTGAGTTATCTAGAACATCAGCGTTGTGGGGTAATCATACTGCTACTTCTTCCCCAGGCACCTGTTTTACCTGGCAGTACCATTCGCTATGGAAAGCTTCAAATTCTGTCTGTTGACCACGTGTCCCATACATCTCCCCCAGCAGCTGGGCGTTACAGCTGAACAGTATGGATGCCTTTAGACCATGCAGCTGGCCCCACACTCAGCAACATGGGAAGTGCTTGTTGCCGAGGCTGCGGGTTCTGGCTCTCCAGCACACCTGGTTCTTGGTCTTTAAGGACTCCATCTCCTGGATGAACTTGTCTGTCAGCTCCTTGATCTTCTCTGAGTAGTTCATGTCCTTCAGCCGCAGCTGATACTCATTCTCCATTTTCAATTCTTCCACACGTGTCTTCAGCTCCAACATTATCTGGGCCTTTGGGAGGAGGAAGCCAAATTAAGAGTTTTGCTCACAGTGGGGGGTGGGGTCAGAATACCTAAACCTGGGACCTTGGCCTGGGACCTGCTACTCTACCTTGCTTCAAATGTTGTCAGGGCCTGTTAGAACTTGTCACCATTTCCCTTACAAGATATACAGAAGACGTGAGGACATACACATGAGACTCTTCCTCTATCTTTATAATATGTGCTCAGTGGTCCCACTGTGTGCCAATAGCTCTCATGTGTCTTTCAAATTAGCATAAATGTTACCTGTTTGGTGAGGCCTACTTGGACCCTCTATTTAATCCTGCTACCCTCTGGTCCCCATTTTCAGCATGGAATTATTGATTCCCCCTTTTTATTCTTTTATTAAGACATTTTTTATTCATTTTACATATCAATCACAGATCTCCATCCTCCCTTCTCCCGCCCCTCCAGCCTTCCCCCCAACGCACCCCCTATTCCCTCCTACAAGAAGGTAAGGCCTCCCATGGGGTTGACTTCCCTTCTTAACCCCATCTTATGCTCTATCTTAAATTATTTCTTCAGATACCAGCACTTGGTAATTATTAAATGATTTGCTCATTATTTTCTTTATTCCGTTGTCTTTTTCTTTCATTAGAAATTTAAGCTCCCCACAGCTGATGCCTTTGTTGGTTTTGTTCTCCAATGTAGCCCAAGAACAGGGCTAAAACATAGTTGGTAATCAAGATACCCTCCTTCTTTGTGTGTGGTACTTCAAGTCAAACCCAGGGCCTCACGTTAAGAGTTCTACATTGGGCTACACCCCAAACCCAAAAGATACTTGATGACTGTCCCTGTGAAACCCACAGCCTACTGAAGCAGCCAAATAAACACGTAATTACAAGCTGTGACTGAATGCCCAATGACGTGGCCACTGTCCCTACTCAGGTCTTTCACGCCTCTGCTGGTGTTATCACTATTACTTTAATACAAGTCCCAGTTCTCCTGGGCTCCAAAGCCTAGTCGCTAGTGTGTTTTTTTCCATTACAATGGAAGTTTCCTGAAAGTCCTGAAATATGCAAACCCCTCATTTCCTGAAGAGCCAATACTGAAGACCAGGAGAGGACACAGATGATTTCTTCTTGCTCACCTTGACTACATCCCACACACCCCCACCTTGTCTTTGCTGCTCCGTTTCCCTTATTTCCACGACAGCAAGGAACATGTGACATTTGTTTCTGTACTCCTAACTGGCACCTGGTATGGACTTGGCATGTGGGAGGTACAGCGAGGAGGGATGCCCACTCAGGGTCCTCATGTGGTTTGGTACCAATGGGAGGTAGAGGGAGAGGAGTCTGAGCTTAGAGACCATTGGAGTGTTATAGGTCAAGTACAATGAATGGATGTGGCACTAGAGGGCCCCGGAAGAGCATCATCTAGCCTCCTTAAGCTGCCTTTGGGGTTATGAGGACTTTTTGATGACGGTGCGCAGCACAGAATACATTAGAGGTGAGGTGACTAGCTGGAATGTGACTGCAGAGTTCCGATGAGAGGTGGAAGGGCCTTGAGCTGAGGTGGGCGAGGGAAGCATGGAGGAATGGAAAGACTATAGAAAGAGATTCTAGAAAATGTGGTGCCTGTCTGGCTCTGTGGTGGTGAGAGAGGGTCATGCTGGAAGACCCCCAGGTGACTGGCTGTACCAAAGCCTTGGGTTTGGCCTGTCTGGCTTCATGATCCTCTCGCCAGAGCCTAGCAACAATACTGTCAACATGGGTAAATGCTCAGCAGATGAATCAGTGGCCCCAAGGCCTGTGTTGAACTAGTGAGACATTGTTGCAAATGGTCCAGTTTTTGATGTGGGATGTTTCAGGTGCTTGTTCACTGGCCTTCCATATTCTGTTCCTACCATGCTACAGAGTATCTTTCCAGGGTGGGAATCTTGTCATGATACTTCCTGACGTAAGGTCTACCTGTGGTTTTTCCCAGCAGTTTCCAGTCTAAGACGTGCAAAAGGCCTCTGTGGTCTCTCTCATTCTTTCCAGCTTTCTCAGCAACACATGCTACTCACAGCTGTTAGACACATCTTCCCAGAGGGCTACCTCTTTTGTTCTGGAAGGTGCTGTACGGGGCTTGCTTCCTCTGACACAACCTGGGCTGGGCTGGGGTCCTTTCCCTGCGTTCCCATGGCAGCATTCCTTTCCCTGTTCCCTGGCTTTCCTCCCAGGCTGCAGGCCGAGGGACCCCTCTGTGTCTTTTATCTCTGTCGTTTCAGCGACAGTGGCCTTTCAGGCACACGGCAGTTGCTTCTGTGGCCAGCACATGGATATTCATGTGCATCTAAATGACCGAGTGAGTGAGGAAATCCCTGGTTGAGAGACAGTTACTTGGAATGTCACCGAACAGAACGACAGGGAGCTGGAACCGGGGAGAATGTGGAATGTCATTTCAGGGACATAGAGAGACAGGTAGGAGAGGGCCAGGAAGAGGTTTGCAGAGATTCATCCTGATGGGCGTGAGGGGGGAGGGAGGCTCAGGAAGTGGGACACATGCGCGCGCGCGCGCACACACACACACACACACACACACACGATGTTTCCACTGTGGTCAGGGGGCAGGGTCAGAGTCAGCCCAGACACTGTCAGACTTGGAGACTGTCCCTGCACCTCCTGTCTGCCTTCTCTGCCCTCTGGGAAGAATGAGAAGAAACGAAGACAGAGCAGATATGTTTGTCTGCTACAGGGAGGCTAGGCTCTCCCTCCCTCCTTCCTTCTCCTTTGCTTTACATAGAGAAGGTTCCAGGGTGTTCTGGAAGGGCTGTCCAAGAAACAGCAGGGCCCTCCATCCTGCCGGGCCTCTGCCGCACTGTTCTGGCAGCCTGTTGTCTCTTCTCCCCTGACTGTGAGCCCCCTGATCACAGCATCCCTGTCTGACTTTTCCAAACACTCATGCTGGGCTGGAGAGATGGCTCAGCCATTAAAGGCTAGGCTCACAACCAAACACTCATGCCCAGGGCCTAGCCAACCACAGGGAGTGCACTCAGCTACTCAGATTTTTTTTTTTTTTTTTTGAGCGGTAATGGCTGTGTAGCTCTGGGATTCTCTGAGAGCCAGACATTCAGCTTCATTCATGAGCTGTGCCCAGGGCTATACACTCAGATTTCAGCAAAACATTTACTGTGTTGAACTTACTGTACCAACAGGAGGGAGGTTCCCTTGGTATAGTGACTGAGAGCCATCATCAGATAAATTCTGGTCCTACTATTTACTAGTACAGTGAGTTTGGATCCAGCACTAAACCTCTTTGAATGAGGTTGATCCATAACCCTTGAGTCATGGGGGAGAACAGTGTCTTTTTCACAGAGGTATTCAGAGGTTTCTTTCTTTTTTTTTCAAGATTCATTTATTTATTATGTATACAGCATGTATGACTGCAGGCCAGAAGAGGGCGCCAGATCTCACTACAGATGATTGTGAGCCACCATGTGGTTGCTGGGAATTGAACTCAGGACCTCTGGAAGAACAGCCAGTGTTCTTAACCTCTGAGCCATCTTTCCAGCCCTCAGAGGTTTCTATGAGACATATGCCACCAGCATGGTACCTGCTCCATGGCAAATGCTCCTTCCTTCTGTCCATCCTTCCCTCCCTCCCTCCCTCCCTCCGTCCCTTCCTTCCTTCCTTCCTTCCTTCCTTCCTTCCTTCCTTCCTTCCTTCCCTCCTTCCTTCCTATGTAGCCCAGGCTGTCCTCAAGCTCATAATCCTCCTGTCTTAGCCACCTTTGTGATTGGATTACAGATGTAAGCTACTGTGCCCATTTGTGTGCATACACTTATGAATGTTCATGCATGCTCATGGTGTGTGTGTGTGTGTGTGTGTGTGTGTGTGTGTGTGTGTGTGTGTGTAGTCCAGAGGCTGACACTAGGTGTCTTCATCAGTTGCTCTTGAGTTTGTGTTCTGAGACAAGGTCTCTCGTTGGACCTGGGGCTCATCAGTTCAGTCAGGTTGTCCTGCCAATGAGCTTTGGGTCCTCTGGTCTCTTCCACCCTAGCTCTGGGGTTATATATGCAGGCCTGCCTCTGTGCCCAGCTCTGTGCTGGGGATCCAACCTCAGGTCTTTAGCTTGCCTGACTGAGCCATCTTCTCCCAGGTCACGTGTTTTAAAATGAAGGTTCAATGCACTGGAAATCATTACAGTTCACAGCTACTGTAGCACAATTTCTAATTGGTCTTAATAATAAAAACCCGGAGTCAGAAATCAGGGTGAAAGCTGAAAGATAAGAGAAGCAGAGTAGCCAGCCACTGGAAAGACTTCTTGCCTCTAGGAATCCTCAGCCTGAAAGGGCCGAGCTCCTGTCTCCACCCCACCTTATCACTTCCTCTTTCCACCCAGCCGTGTCACTTCCTGTTCCTCCTCCCAAGTGCTGGGATTAAAGGTGTGAGCCACCACTGCCTGGTCTCTAGTGGCTAGCTCTGCACTCTGGTCTTCCAGGCAAGCTTTATTTGTTTGAGCACAAACACAATATCACCACAAGCTCCAACTTGGGCATGTGGTAGTTTAATCTTATGAATGTGTACTGGTTATCTTTAAAGTCCCTCGCCACGGTTCCCATTCTTACACCACAGCCGGAAGAAAGCAGGGTCACGGGCCTTGAGCACAGTATAAGTCAGGGTGATCACGGCGTAGAAAGACAGGCAGTGTCAGGGCAGTTGCAAGCAGGTTGACTTGCCAGCATGGATGGAGCCAAGAAGGGAGCTGCGACTGTCTGCACCAGACATGGGTGGAGCCAGTCCTTCAGAGGACATCAGATGCTGGCCCGAGCCCTCTGAATGTAGTCTGCTAAGGAATTCTTTGTCCTCCCCACCCCCAATTAGACCTGGTTCTTACCTTCTCTTCCATGTCTGTTTTAGTCACGAGCACCTCTTCAGCAAAGCCCACCTCCCTCTCTCTTTTGATTCCCCGGCCTTCCTTATCAAAGACCCTCCAGGTGAATAGGCAGCCGTCCTCAGCAACAGTCAGTAGGAACTGGTCATCAAAGGTGAGCAGCATCTGTGGAGGAAAAGAGCATGGAGAAGTTTTCTGGGGTCGTGGATGCCCGGGATGGAGCTGGCTACCGCACAGGCTTTGGGCCACGCAGCCCTGCCCACTCCCCTGGGCATGCGTGCTCTTTACCAGGAGAATTAGACAGAAGCACCTTGGTGCATGAACAGATTTCTTCGTTGATGAGGGAATATGAAGGAGTCAGTGTCTGGGGAGAGAAAATCCCCAGCTCACTCAAAGGCAAAGAATCAAAATGTGAAGCTCTTATGGCATCTATCATATGTAGCCAGGGATGGATTCGGGGGCCACTGTGTGTAGAGGGGGGGACTCAGTTGAGCCTTTGCTCTTCTTCATCGTGCTTCTGGATGTCACATGTCACACTATCGTTTTCAGTCTCTGCTTCAGTATGGTTCTCACTATGCTAATGGAGCAGAAGTAACCATGGGCAACCATGGATCTATCATTGTGACTATAGGTTGCTTTTGTCTCGTCCTACCTGTAATTTGTCCCTTATCTGAGGTAGTCCCTAATTGAGTTTGGGAACAGAGCAATCGTTCTCCTACCTCAGTGAATTTGATTTTAGTGATCTTATTTTCCTGGGCTTTGGGTTTCTGGTATTGTTGCTGCCTACAAGAGTCTTTGAAAGCTGAGCTGGTTTCTTGACTCCCCTGGAGAAGACTGATTTCTTTTTTTTTTTTTTTTTTTAATTCCCAATTTTCTGCTGTGTTTGACTGAGGGCTAGCCTCTTTCAGGCACAGCCATAAAGTAAGGAAGGTCAAAGGTCTACAAGAGGGGAGCTATGTCAATGTTCATCTGGATTCTATAAGAGCAACACATGCTCTTTACCACTGAGCCATCTCTCCAGCCTCTAAAAAGCATTGCTTTTGAGGAACATTCAATCATATAGAAAAATTCTTACAATGATGTTCAAGTTTTAAGAGGCAGGTTGTGAAAAAGTGACCATATAGCATGATCTTTATTCCAGATACATGTATAATATACATGAGGGGAGATGGTGTCAGAGTATGAACGATGATGCTACTATTAAGGCCTGACTTTCATAAACATGTATTGCTTCTACAGTAAAAATGATTTTACCACAAAATTCAGTGGATCTGAAGGGAAGATGGACTATATCATCACACTTCACTTTGGACACAATGCCCAGGCTCAGTACAGACATGTGTCATTTTATAATGAAAAATCCTTCTCTAATGTGTACAGTACCTACAGGTAAGTGTGCTCGATTGAATGAGAATGGTCCCAGTTGGTGGACCTATTTGGGAAGGATGAGGAGGTGTGATTTTAGTAGAGGAGGTGTGTTACTGGGAACAGGTTTTGAGGTTTCAGAAGGCTCATGCATTTCCCATCACTGTTCTCTGCCTCGTGGTTATGGATCACGGCGTGAGTCTCGGTTGCTCCTTCATGCTGCCATCATGGACTCCAACTCTTTAAAACCGTAAGTCACATTAAATACTTTTGTTTAGAAGTTGCCTTGGTCATGGGATTTTATCACAGCAATAGAAAAGCAAGACACTGAATCAGGACATAATTAAAAATCTTTCATGTCATCCAATTTCAGATAAAGGAGGCATAAATTTTCTCAGGACCTGGTTTTCAGGGGCCTGTGTAATCACCCCCCCCTCCCCCCTGTGAGTGACTTTTACTTTTCTATTAGCTCTGATTTATTGGCACCCATTTTTTCATGCCAGAGAGCTCTTTTTCATTCACTTTTTGTTATGGCAAAATATATACACTATAAAATTTAGCACCCTAGCCATTTTTTGGTGTATAGTTTATGATGACACATTTGTGAAGCTGTGGAGTTATCACCACCATCTAACCATAATTTTTTGTTCTTTAAAACTAAAACTATGGTCTGCAGCTGGGCGTTGATGGCTCATGCCTTTACTCCCAGCACTTGGGAGGCAGAGGCAGGTGGATCTCTGTGAGTCTGAGGCCAGCCTAGTCTACAGAATGACTTCCAGGACAGCCAGGGCCACACAGAGAAACCCTGTCTCTAAAACAAAATAAAATAAACAAACAAAAACCCAAACAAACCTAAGACTGCACAAATTAAACAGTAATTCCCCTTTTTGCTTCCAGCCCAGAGGGGTATAGAATGACAAGCATCATTCTACTTTCTATCACTTTTGATATCTTCTCTTTAAAAGTATGAATCAAGGTTTTATTGGTCAGTTTGGGTGAGTCACAGATGGACATAACCCCAATTCACCATTCCACACGCTCGAACCCCTTGTCAGTGAGCAATAGTGTACTGTGGAAAGAACCCAAAGGCCTCAGAACTGACAAACGCTATGGGCAGCAGAACCAATGCCCTAGGACTAAATCCTAATGGAATAGTCTTCACGCAGCAGTGGATATCCTGCAGATGCCAGATCACTGTCTTCTCTAGCTCTAGCTTGGGGTCCTACAACCATGTGTCATAAAGACCATAGTCCAGAAAAACTGAAAACACCCTGGAGGGGCCAGAGTCCTGTTCCCACAGTGGGTGGAATGATGCTGTATTTGCCTATTTGGAATTAGCATGTTTTATGTAGTTCAGTTTTCTTAAAACTCATGCATGTTGTAGCATAGTGCTGAGTTCCCTTCCCTTTCAAGACTATTACTCCATTGTATGCGTGGAACACATTTGCTTAGCCACTCATCTGCCACTAGACACAGGCTGCTTTCTTATTTTAGCACCTTTTTCTTTTCCTCCATTATGATTTGAACCATTTAGCTATTAAACATAGATATTACTTCACAAGAAAAGGGAATAGGACTATTTTAAAGAAAAGGGAATAGGACTATTTACAAAGCATGCCTATGTTATTTTTCCTAGGAGTAGTCTTCATGTTCTCAGAGTTGGTTCTAATCTCTTGGCGGGGTATGACTCCCTTTTGTCTGGGAGCAGTGGGCACCTGAGGGTCATTAGTAGGTAAAACTCACTGCAGCTGGGAAATATGATGGCGACCTACAGCACCCATCCAAGGGTCTATTATTGGGTGTAATTTCGTGTCAAATGATCTTTAGGTGTGACCCATTACTTCCTAGGATAAATTCCTAGTAGTTTCAACATGGTTACTAATATCCAGCTGACGGGTGCCTAGTGAATGGGCGACAGACGAATAAATACACACACACACACACACACACACACACACACACACACACAGAGAGAGAGAGAGAGAGAGAGAGAGAGAGGAGAAACAAGCAACACTGAGAAATTGACAGGGTAGGAAAGTCTATGAGGCAGAGCCTGGGCTGGGACTTGGTGGGGAGGCACCTCTCACCTTGGTGATGGGACCAGCATGAGCCTGATACTCATTGAATTCTTTCTGCAAAGGCAGGGGGTACTTCATGGCACGGATCGTTCCCACTGAAGTGCCCACAAACATCATGCGCCCGGAATGTGAGAGGGTGAGGGCCGTATAGATGACGTCAAATGCTGATATCTCTCGAAGGATCTGGAACACAGGCAGGTCTGTTCAGTGGGAGGGGCTGAGCTATGTCCCCCAGTGTCTCAGTGTCATCTTTGGGGTGGGAATTCTACTAACTTTTTTTTTCCTATTCCTTATGTATTTGATATAATGTTCAGCACATAAAAGGCCCAAACCAACTACTTCTTGGTTCCTTCTCCTCCTGTCCCTTCTCATTGTCATCACTGTGGTACTGGGATTGAAACCCAGGCCTCACACAGGGGAGGCAGGCTCTCCACCACTGAGCTACCTCCCCAGTTCAGAGTTCCTAATTTTTATTATCATTTTATGTTTTTGAGACAGGATCTCACTGTGTAGCCTTAGGTAGCCTGAAACTTTTAGGTAGACCAGGCTGGCTTCACAGAGACCCATCCGCTTCTGCCTCCCAAGTGCTGGGATTAAAGGCATGTGCAACTGTGTCCACTTGGAGTTCCCAAGTCTTATGTGGTGTGTGTGTATGTGTGTGTGTGTGTGTGTGTGTGTGTGTGTGTGTGTGTGTGTGTTCACACTAGTGTGAGTACATGGAGGCCAACATGACATCAGGATCCTGGTCTATCACTCTCTGTTGTATATTCCTTTGAGACAGGGTCTCTTCGCTGACCCTGGAGCTGGACAGATGGCCAGCAAGCCCCGATGACCCTTTTCTCTCTGTCTTGCCCCCCCTGCCCAGCCCTGGGGGTACGGGTACACATAGCCCCACCTGGGTGCTGGGACCTCAACTCAAGTCTTCACGCTTGTACAAAAGGTGCCCTTACCCACGGAGCTGTCTCTGTAGCTTTGGTTTCTTGACTAATAACCAGTTGTGGGCGTTAGAAACAATACAAACGGAACGGCCAGAAATCTTCCCACGGCGCCATGTACAAACACTGTCTTATACCCTTTCTCTGCCGTAACTCATCTGGTCTCCCCAAACCCCTGAGGATGTTACCCTTACATTTAAGTCAACAGAAGATGAGTCATGGAGGCTGGAAGTAACTTGCCTCAACTCCTAAGTGTGGTCAGTGGCAGCCCGACTCCACTTTTAGCTCTTGACTGCAATGTTGTCCACACACCTCAGAGTGTGAATACGATGGCAGTCATACATTTATCCAGGAGGCATTTATTAATGTCCAAACTATGCTCTCAGGGAACCCATTTATTCCTCCACTCATGGCTGCTTATTCACCCACCTGCTCACCTATCCACACATTTTTAATGATTATGTGTGTGTGTATGTGTGTGTGTGGGGGGGCGGGGTCAGGCAGTGTGCCAGCTACTAGGGATGTTGAGGGGAGGGGCCATAGCCTTGCCCTGGGGAAACATTATTCTGGTCCAGCTTTGTACAAGCTGCTTAAATACTAGGATCAGGTACCTGGCAGTACAAAGGAGAGTCACTCTGTGTTAACTAAGCCATATTCCAAACCTGTCTCAGATTCATTTGCTGCTGTGGTAGCCATGAGCTTCCTCCCACACCCAAGGTGCCAGCCCATGAAAGAAGCTGCAGAAAACCTAAGAAGCCAGAGATCAGCTGTCACTGGGCCAGAGAAGGACACAAGCCACATCTGTAAAGGGTCCACATTGAGCTCTTCTTTCCGCCCATATGTCCAGGAGCCAAAGGTGGTAATATAAAAACATGCAGGTTAGAGATTTTGAAAGAGCACAGGGACAAGCCTGGGTGATGGCAGCTAACCACAGCAGTGACTTAGTTAAGTGCAGAACAAGGGCAAGAGCTCAAGGGTGGTGGTCTGTGTAGTGGTGTGTGTGGTGGTGGTGTGTGTAATGGTGGTGGTGTGTGTCGTGGTGGTGGTGGTGGTCATGATGTGTGTGGTGGTGGTGGTGGTGTGTGTGTGGTGGTGGTGGTCATGGTGTGTGTGGTGGTGGTGTTGTGTGTGTGTGTGGTGGTGGTCTGTGTAGTGGTGTGTGTGTGTGTGGTGGTGGTGGTCTGTGTAGTGGTGTGTGTGGTGATAGTAGTGGTGTGTGGTGGTGTGTGTGGTGGTGGTGGTGGTCTGTGTAGTGGTGTGTGTGTGTGTGTGTGGTGGTGGTCTGTGTAGTGGTGTGTGTGTGTGGTGGTGGTGGTATGTGTGGTGGTGGTGTGTGTAGTGGTGTGTGTGTGTGTGTGTGTGTGTGTGTGTGTGTGGTGTGTGTGGTAGTGGTGGTAGTCTGTGTAGTTGTGTGTGTGTATGATGGCGGTGGTGTGTGTGGTAGTGATGGTAGTGGTGTGTGTAATGGTGGTGGTCATGGTGTGTGTGGTGGTGGTGGTCATGGTGTGTGTAATGGTGGTGGTCATGGTGTGTGTGGTGGTGGTGGTCATGGTGTGTGTGGTGGTGGTGTTGTGTGTGTGTGTGGTGGTGGTCTGTGTAGTGGTGTGTGTGTGTGTGGTGGTGGTGGTCTGTGTAGTGGTGTGTGTGGTGATAGTAGTGGTGTGTGGTGGTGTGTGTGGTGGTGGTGGTCTGTGTAGTGGTGTGTGTGTGTGTGTGGTGGTGGTCTGTGTAGTGGTGTGTGTGTGTGTGTGGTGGTGGTCTGTGTAATGGTGGTGGTCATGGTGTGTGTAATGGTGGTGGTCATGGTGTGTGTGGTGGTGGTGGTCATGGTGTGTGTGGTGGTGGTGGTGTGTGTGTGTGTGGTGGTGGTCTGTGTAGTGGTGTGTGTGTGTGTGGTGGTGGTCTGTGTAGTGGTAATGGTAGTGGTGTGTGTGATGGTGGTGGTGGCCTGTGTAGACCAGAGGACAACCTGTGGGAATCGGCTCTCCCTTTTCCACCATGGGGATCCCAAGGGTCCCTTCAGGTTGTCAGGCTTGGTGGCACATGTGGCATGTGCCTTTACCAGGTGAGCCATCTTGGTGACCTCAGCGTGTTTTAGAGATGCTGCCGATTTCTGTGGTGTGGGTAAATGGGAAGTTACAGGAGCAAGCAAAACAGAAAGGGCAAGGGGACCCACAGCTGAGCCATTCAGGAGGATCAAGGGGTGACAAACTGAGCTGACCCCACAGAGGGCACTGCTCCATGCAGGAGGGTCCTCTCTCAACTCCTTCTACCATGGAGCCTGTCTTTGGCAACACTGTGGAGCAGCCAGAGATGGGGAGGGTGGACTCACCAAAGAATCCGAGATCTCCTTGAGAGTCTGGTCTGATCCAACAGCAAAGATAACTTTGCCGTCAGGGGAGACAGTGATGGAGTTGTAGCTACAGGACTTGAGCACACATTCCGTCTCTCTCTTCCCTGTGGACAGGTTCCATTCATACACAGCGCCATCTGTCCCGGCAGAAATCAGTTTGCTGTCGTCTAAGTTCCACACAAGTGAACGAATCTGCAAGGGATACAGACACAACTGGGTGAGAAGAGTGTACACATACGCGTGTACACACACATTCACATGCACACTCGGAGGAGATAAACCTGGGGGCTCCACTACACTAAGGCAGAATGTCTGTGCCTGGTAGAGGTCTGTCTGTAAGCACAAAAATGGCTTCTTAGCCACATTAACATTCTGTTTTCTAAGATGTAAATGTTGTAAAATGCTGACACAATATACTCTCACTCCCTTTTCACTTTATGAATGAAGACTGACTTGTATTAGTTTTCTAATGTAACTTTATCTTTTGTGAATGCATGGTTTGGTGTGGTTACAAGTATCTGCAGAGGTCAGAAGAGGATGTCAGATCCCCTGGAACTAGCTGGAGTTATGGATGGTTGTGAGCCACCACATGGGTGTTGGGAAATGAACCTGGGTCTTCTGTAAGAGCAACAAGTGCTCATAACTGCTAAGCTATCTCTCTGGCCCCCTTTGAGAACCCGCTAAGTTTTGAAATATTCACAGGAAACTGCAACCAATAGCCCTGAGACTTCTAGGAGAGACTTCTAGAGTAAGGGTATCAGCCAGTTTCCCCAGTGACCTAAGTTAACTGGTAAAAATAATCAGAACAACCACTTAGGGCTGGAGGCACAAGTCAGTTGGTGAAGGGCTCACCTGGCTAGCATGAGCACCTGAGTTTGACTCCCAGGACCTACATTGGAAAAAAAAAGCCAGGCATAATGGTCCACTCTTTGACCTCAGCGACCAGGAGACAGAGACAGATGGATCCTTGGTGCTCGCCGGCTAGCCTAACCTACTAGGTGAGTTACAGGCTAGTCAGAGAACCCATTTCAAAACCAACCAACCAACCATACATGCACATGAGCACCAAAGTCCCCGGAAACTTGTTTGAAGGGCATGGGACAATGGGGAAACATTCATCCAAGAGCATCTCCCCAGTCTCTGTAAGAGGACCCTGTGGTGTCTGTACCACCTGAAAAGCCACTGCTGTGGACTCCGGGCAGCAGCTGCCGAGGTGACGTGCCACCTCTGCTCTTCAGTACGGTTTCACTCTGGGAAGGAAAGATGGCTGACATTTGTTACCCCAGGATGCAGAGGCTTGAGGCAGGCATGGCCATGATAGCTGGTTCCCTTCCCTCAGCCAGTCTCACAGGGAGCAGCTCCACTCCACGTGCAGACAGGCCAAGAGTAACGGTACCTGACTGCCGACGCCCCAGTGCGCTTATTGGTGGAGATTCCTCACTATGAGGGCGAGGTGAAGATCAGGGGTTCCTGTCACCCTGCCCCTACCCTGCAGCTTCCACTCAAAGTAGGGGTGCCATTGCTGGGAAAGCAGGTTCAGCGCATGGTGGTGTAAGGGCTTTGCATCAGGGAAATGCAGTCACTAAGACAGAGGACTCTGTGGCAGCCAGGGACTGACTGACTTTACAACAGCATCTGGAGACCTCTGTGCTTACGGGAGCATCTGAAACAGTGGAGATCTTGGTGAGAGATCAAAGAGGAGGCTGGTAACTATGACATAAGAAAAAAACCAGCAGAGCGGCTGAATTTCAGTAGAGAGATCGTGGGAAAGCGATGGTCACCGGGGGCTACAAGGCTGTGTGCCTGTGGCAGGGTGTATCCATTAGGCAGCGATGGGAGCAGGATGTGGGAAACACAAAAGCATTTTTTTTTTTTTCAAGACAGGGTTTCTCTGTGTAGCTTTTCACCTTTCCTGGAACTCACTTGGTAGCCAAGGCTGGCCTCGAACTCACAGAGATCTGCCTGGCTCTGCCTCCCAAGTGCTGGGATTAAAGGCATGCGCCACAATGGCCTGGCAGAAAAGCATTTTCTTTTTTTTTTTTTTTTTTTTTTTTTTTTTTGGTTTTTCGAGACGGGGTTTCTCTGTGTAGCTTTGCGCCTTTCCTGGAACTCACTTGGTAGCCCAGGCTGGCCTCGAACTCACAGAGATCCGCCTGGCTCTACCTCCCGAGTGCTGGGATTAAAGGCGTGCGCCACCACCGCCTGGCTAGAAAAGCATTTTCTAAGCTACCTGAAGACCCACTGACTCAGGGAGAAGTCTCTTTGGTACAATAGGCTTCCATACAACATCTGGCCACACACTCAATAGTGAGTACCTTTGACTCAAGCCTTCCAAGAACCCAGGCTTAACATGTAAAATGGTACTCACTCTTGGGCAGCATGGAAGACTATGTTCCTGACTAAGGCTGTGCCTTGTCAGGCAAAACCAGAGAGGGCACATCCAAACTGCCCATCTTTGCAGACCATGGAGCAAAAACCCTAATGGCCTAAAGCAGCTTCCAAGCCCCACACAAACCTAGGAGTAAAGGCTCAAAATCCAAGCAGCTAAGTCGGAAATCTACATGGGCTTATGGGGAATCTAAGTGGACTTATGGGAAATCTATAATTAGTAAGTACCTTAGGCCATCCACTGGAAAACTGAAGGCTAAAATCGAAAAAGAAGAAAAAAGATAAGAAAAAAAATCTAAGTATGGACACTAAAGGCTGCCCACTGCATAGGAAAAAGGCTTTACAAAATTAGTTCCTCCACTGAGCAAATAAGCAGTCAATCATCCTACCAACTTACCCGCCTACCACCAGCTCTCGGGAATATATATCCAGAATTGCTGCAGTATGGTGCCTAAAATAGCCAGCCAATAAGAATCTAGGAAACACACAAGAAGCAAACCAACAAAGCCCTCAAAAATACTGTGCCCCAAAAAGAAGATGACAGGAGTGAGCACGGAGGCAAAGGAAGTGTCCTGGAAGGTGCCCGGACCAGCAGACAAAGATGATGTAAACACATCCATAGGAGTACAGAAGCCACACTTGCGGAATTAAAAGAAGCGATGATGCGTCTCATCAAGTTAGCAATACAAAAGGGAGAGAGAGCATTTTTAGAAACTCTAATGGATACCCCAGGGTTGAAAAGTGTAACTGCCAAAGTGAAAATGTCACTAGAGGGGCTCCACGGAAGATCTGAGCAGGGGACCGTGAAGGCAGATCAAAAGCCATCACGCAATCTGAAAAAACAGAGATGTTTAAGAAAATCTAACAGAGACCAAGAGAGCCATGGACAACCATCACGTACACCAGCAAATGTGGGTCGAGAGTACCAGGAGGAGAGAGAAGAGCATCGGGAAAAAGTTACAAATAAGTGTGTAATTCTGAAAGCAGTCAAAACTTGCTGAAAAACATGAATGCACGCATCCAAGGACTATAGTACATTTCAAGTAGGAGAAGCACAAAGAGATTGACATCCAGACACACCACAGTCAAAACCCTGCAAGCCAACAACATGAAAACCTGAGAGAAAGCCAACTGGTCTACGCTAGCGACAGCCCAAGATTACCATTTGGCTTCTGTCAGAAAATCCGGAGGGAGACCCAGAGGCAGTGGGAGGCTGTTTAAAGCACTGATAGTAACAACAAGAACCATCGCTTTATGTCTAGCAAAACTAAATGTCTATTTTAATTATGAAGGACACATTAACGAATCCCCAGATAAACACAAAACTGGAGAACTGACTGCCTGAAGACCTGCCTTTCAAGAAATGCCAAAGGAAGTTCTTTAGACCAGAGGTAGTTGATCTCTGACGACAACATGACATCACACCAAAGAAAACACAGTGATAATTTCATAAGCCACCGATTGACAGCATGATTGCAGAGTACATTTTCTTTACTCTCTAACATATGTTAAGTTCATATTAAAATTTTTACAAATTTTACAAAAATTTACAAAATTTTTACAAACTCATCTGTTTCTTTCAGCTATTTGAAAAGACACAATAAAGTCACATAGAGTAGCGATCCAAACAGTGTATTATAAGCCAGGTGTGGCAGCACACACCTTTAATCCTAGCACTCCAGAGACAGAGGGAGGTGGATCTCTGTGAGTCTGGGGCCAGCCTGGTCTACAAGTTCCGGGCTAGCCAGGGCTACATGGTGAGACCCTGTCTCAAAACCACACAACCACCCAGCCACCACAATGTATTATAGGATGTGTAACAAAAATAAAATACAGGCCAGTGAGATTGACCTTTAAAAATAAAATACAGGACCAGTAGATGGCTTAGGGGGTAAGTGTGCTGTCAGTCAACTCTGACAACTTGAATTTGATCCCAGGGACTCACAAGATAGAAGGAGAGAATTGACCCTCTTCAGATTTCCACACTCATGCCACACCCACATCCACACACCCAATAAAAAGTTAAACAAAAATAAATAAAATACATACACTACAATAAAGGGTAGAACTGAATGGACCTAGGTGTAACATTTCACTGGAGCTAAGCCTAACAACATTTAAGGTTAAAGCGTTTGTTTTGAAGCTGTTTTCCTGTTAATACAGTGGGTCACACTGGTTGGTTTTCCATGTCAAACCAGCCTTGCATTCCCAGGAAAAAGCCCGTGGGTCACAATCTGTAACAACTGTATGCTGGTAGGTTTTCGTGTTCTGCCGTCTTGAGATTTCTCAGTCTGTGTTCACCAAGGATCTGCAGTGTCCTTTCTTCTTTCCAACTGTCTGCTCTTTGGTAAGGGTAAGACTGGCCTTGAAAATGATTTAATGTGTTGTGGGGAAGAAACTGTATAGAATTGGCCTTAAGTTCCCTTTCAATGCATAGAACACCTGCTCGCACCTCTCCTTCTGGATCTGCCTACCTCTTCCTGCATCAAAAGCTGTAAACTCACAGCATTACGTCTAACTTCGGTTGAACACAGACTCATCCCTGGCTTCCCCTCTCTCCACATTTGTAGACTGGCTGCTACTGTCTTTAACATGTGCTTTTCCTGTAAGTAGTCAGTCTCCTGACCCAATGGCTCCTGTTGGTGAAAATGGCTAGTCCCATTTAAGTCTTCTAGCATCTTTTTTTTTTCCTTCGAGACAGGGTTTCACTGTGTAGTTTGGTGCCTGTCCTGGATCTCACTCTGTAGACCAGGCTGACCTCGAACTCACAGAGATCTGCCTGGCTCTGCCTCCCAAGTGCTGGGATTAAAGGCATGCACCACCACTGCCCAGCTGTCTTTTGGCATCTTAATCCTGTCCTCATCTCTAAAAGATAAATGTTAGAAGATCTAAAGGTTCTATGCATCGGGGGCCCTGTAAACCTCTCCAATTTCAGTTCACCTGTGTGTCATGACACCTGATACCCATGTTCCATCCCCACAAACTTTTTTTTCTTTTTTCTTTTTCAAGACAGGGTTTCTCTGTGTAGTTTTGGTGCCTATCTTGGATCTCACTCTGTAGCCCAGGCTGGCCTTGAACTCACAGAGATCCGCTTGGCTCTACCTCCTGAGTGCTGGGATTAAAGGTGTGTGCCACCACCGCCTGGACCCACAAACTCTTCAGTGCCTCTAATACTCCATCTGTCTGTGGGTTTATATTCTCTTATTTTGTTTTGTTTTGTTTGAGACAGGGATAGCTTTGGAGCCTATCCTGGAACTCTCCCTGTAGCTCAGGCTGGCCTTGAACTCACAGAGATCTAGCTGCCCCTGCCTCCCAAGTGCTGGAATTAAAAGCATGAGCTACCACCGCCCAGCTGCGATTGTATTCTCATATGCAATGGCTATCACCACCAGCCCTGTCTGGGTAACCCCTACTCACTGCCCCCAGGACCAAGCCTTTGCAAACATCACAGCCTATATTGAGCCCACCTCTTCAACACCCACATACTTTTCTTTCATCGAACCAGTTGCAATTTGTCTTTTTTTTAAATTTTTTTATTTAATGCCGAATGCTGTTTATTGAAGGAGGGAAAAGGTCTTACAGCACAATGGGAGAACCCCAGAGGGCAGAAATTCGATACTGATGTTTTACAATCTTGCATCTAAGCTGTTAACGCCCATTATGCAGGATATACAGACAAGGAACTTCCCTTAAGCATTCAGGAGGGTGGAACCCAGCAGGGAATTAGCATAGGGGGATATCAAGGTTAAGGTCAGCAAGCAAGGCAACAGTTACCCAAAACAGGGGCCAGGACCCTACAGGTCCCCCTTTTACTAAAAAATGAGCTTCTGACTTAGGTTACGTGGGACCACAGCAGGTCACCTTACCACACAGGTGCTCTGTCTTAGGTTGGTGAGCGCCCCTCCAGGAATTACCCGTCTCTGAATACACATTATCATACAGGCTCAATCATGTGTGAGCTGTGAATTAACTGCTGCCAAACATCTCAAAGTGGTACTGGGCTTGCAATCTTGTGTGTTCGACACAGAAAAGACCAACAGAGGTCCTATCCTACCCATAGCCAGTAGGTTAGAGGCAACTGAGCCATTCCCTTCCTTAATGAGCCTTACTGCAAGTTGGAGTCCTTGTAAGATAGTATCCCAAAAGCAAATGGAACTTGAGTTTATAAATTTATAATTTTCAAAGCCAATTGAAATGTATATAACTATTGAATTAAATTTATCATGCCCAATAGAATGAAAGATTAACTAACTGTGGTAGCTACTTTTGCTGCCAGGGTCTCCACTGTGCTAGCTTGCAGGTATTTTGTGAGCCCTGTCAGGAAAGGAGACCCCTTTGGCTAGCACAGTACATGTCTCAGTGGCCCTTGTCACCCTGGCCACTGGCCACTGACTTACCTTCCCTGTGTGGCCTTTCAGGTTGATGATGTTCTCCAGGCTCGTGGTGGTGAAAATGTGAATCACATTTCCGTTGACCGAAGCAAAGAGGTGACCTCCGTTGCTAAAGGCACACTACAGGGAGGGAGGGAGCAAGAAAGAGGGGGGCATCTGAGTGGAGCCCGGGACTCTGGGTGGGGAAGTGCTGCTTCCAGACACCATTAACACTCCTGTAGCTCATGGCGCCAATACCCTGATGCTGCCTCGTCTGCTGGTCATTACACTGCTCTGTCCCAGAACTGGCCCCACGGTGTCTGCAGTGGCACCGTTTCAGGCTGGGGGACTGGATGCTCTACCATCGCTGTCTTGCTTCTTCAAGCCACCTGAGGGAAAGCTGATGGGCTGTAACTGCATCTCACTGTTGGCACTGCTTCCCCAGCTCCCTCACATCTTCACTTTTACCCTCCCAGCTGGGATGCTCATCTTGAGATTGCTTTTCTTCTCTAATCTTAACCAAGATGCCCAGCCCTATCACAGATGGAATCCCACAAGGCTTTAGGTCCAGCATATTGTTTGGGTGGGTGTAGAAAAGCATGGACAGAACTGAGCACCTCATGAGTCTGTTGAGAGAGCACTGGCTACTGTTTTATGTCTCCAAACCTCCTAAGACAGACTTTGGTACCATGGTCTTTACCTCCCTGCACCCTCTGACAGAATATTCTTTGAAAGGACGGATGTCATCAATGAGCAGATTCATAAGACGGAGTTTGTCAGCAAACCCCACCACGATGAAGTGTCCAGAGGGGTGAAGGCTGATGGTGTAGGCCTCTTCTTGGTATTCCTTAAACAGCTCCAGCGTGCTGTGAGAAAGGACATTACTGAGTTATGAGCTGAATCTCTAATACTCTCAAGCCCCCCCATTTTATTTGTTTTTGTGTATCTGAGTTATTTTATTGCTTGCAATGACTGTTTTCAGGATTCTGGTTGCTTGAAGATAATGCTGAGCACTGAGTACAGCCAACAGGAAAACTGGTCAAATTACCATCTAGTACTGAACACACAAGCCCAGTGGCAAGTCCAAGAATTACAAAGAGTATTAAGTAATTTCTCCCAGCGGTCCCTTGTACACAAGAGTAAAGAAGAATTTTGGGTGCAGTCTGGGTTTGGAGATCCTATCATTGTAGGGGCTGGAGGTGGTTGGGACAGTGAAGAGGAAAAAGAGGAGGAGTCAAAGGTCTGGAGAGATCACTGCAGCAAGAGGAACTGAGAAAGGGATGGGACGGGAGAGCAGGAGGGACAGAGGCATTAACGGATGAGGGTGAGCTAGTGTGGAGTGCTTACCTCTGTGTTCCTAGGGTCTAGTAGAGTATAGTAAACATTTAATAAACCAGAAAGTAATTTTCTAGCCCATGTGGGATTGGGAGACAGCTGACTAATTTGGTTTTTAGAACAAGGCTTTTCTAGCTGAAAGCTTCTAGGTCATTGGATTGGAAACCTCTCTAATGAAAACACTGCATAAACAGGATTAATGATTGGCATTCTGTACACACGGTAGTAGCAGAGCCTTGCCCTCCTTACTTTGACTCATAATTCCAGACGCGGATGGAGCGATCCAGGGAACAGGTGGCAATGAGGGGTTTGCGGATGCAGGTAGCTAGGCCAGTGATGGACGCAGAGTGCAATGGGTACAGCAGGTACTCGAAGTGGGCAGGCTCTCCCTGGAGAAACCACACAAAATGAGATCCAGCAGGGTGAGCCGAAGGCTGCCTGTGTCCTTCAGCGTGAATTAGTATCCGGCCTGTGCACACAGAAATCATGCTAAGGCAAATGGTTTCAATGTTCCATGAGGTTTTCCTAAGATACTGTTATTTTAAAATATTGGCGAGGCCATGGAACCTAGAGGAGAGCCTATTACTGCCCCCCCCTTTTTTTTTCTGAATCAGTATAATCTCTAACTGTATTCTAAATACTGACCCTTATACCCACAGGTAAGTGTGGCTCTCACCTGCCGTCAAAGAACCTTCTTTTTGCAGACAATGGAGAACATTACAGAAACCCACAATGGTCAAAATGCAGAGAACAACCGACCATGGTGTGCCCACCTCCAACTATACATCTACAACACAACCTCCACACCTAAGGTCCAGGGAATAGCACAGAAAAGGAGGCGAAAAGACTGTAAGAGCCAGAGGACCATGATGTGTGCTTCGAGACAGTCTCTTCTTAAAATAAAAAAAGGGACAGTCTGGGTGTGGTGGCTCACACCTCCTAGGCAGAGGCAGGCAGATCTCTGTGAGTTAGAGGCCAGCCTGGTCTACAGAGTAAGTTCCAGGGCCATCTAGGGCTACACAGAGAAACCCTGTCTTGAAAAACAAAACAAAACAGACAGACAAACAAAAACTGACAGGAAGGGGGATGTAGGGGAGGGATCTGGGAGGAGCTGGGGGGAGAAATGGGGTGTGAATATGATCAAGATTTGTTGAAATCTTTCTGAAATCTTCGAATAGTTACTAAAATATTACATATATATACATATATCTATATATGTATATATAATTTTAGGGGCTGGAGAGATGGCTCAGTGGTTAAGATCACAGGCTGTTCTCCCAGAGGGCCTAGGTTTGAGGCCCAGCACCCACATGGTAGCTTGCAATGGTCTGTAACTCCAGTTCCATGGGATCTGATGCCCTCTTCTGTTCTCCTATAGCAACACACACACACACACACACACACACACACACACACACACACACACACACGGTATAAAGACATACATTCAGGCAAAACACCCATATAAATAAGTAAAACATTAAAATTTTATTATTTTAATGACAACACATGTATAGTGTTGTAGCTTTAACCATCTGATTCTGTGGGAACATTTGTGTGGCTTCTAACTTTGTTACTTGAGAGTACACTATAGACTGAATGTCCTTACATAAGTCTTTGTATTACTACCTTAGGATACATTTCTGGGGGTGGAATTCTGGTTAAATGCTGTGAATGTTTTTAAGCATCTTAATAAGCAACGCCCAGTTTCTCCCCGAGGAGACTGTAGCACGTGATCATTTGTGTTACAAATGTCTGTCATCAGAGGCATTTTCTCTAAGGATAGACGGAAGTGATGGGTGGAAAACTGAATGAGGTGAACACACGCTAGGTCTGTTCCCACGCCAAGACAAAGAAAGGCTGAGATGACAATTCCCACCCACTCTTGTACTCTCCCACTCTTATTTTCTCCACACCCACTTCCTCCTGCGTCCCTGTCTGAGACAGAGGCGCTGTGCCTCTCCACTCCTTCTGCCCTTGGTATGTTTGGCAACAGTGTTTCTTCTACCAGCTAATTCTTAGTAGCTTTTAAACATACTCACACCTTTTTTTTTTTTCCCACAAGGGGAGCAATTCTTTTCTCCCTTTCGGCCCAGGAACCGTGGAATGACAGGGAACCAGCCCAGCAAGCTCATGGTCTCCCTCAGAATCCACGGCCAGGATCCTCCAGTGGGGATTTAGTATGGTCTGCTTACGCTCTGCAATGTGTTTACGTTCTGAATTTCCATGATAACTATTTCATACTATTTTCTCTTTTCTTTTTTTTAATTTATTTATTCCATGTGCATTTGTGTTTTGTCTGTATGTATGTCTGTGTGAAGGTGTTGGATCCCCTCAAACTGGAGTTACAGGCAGTTACGAGCTGCCATGTGGGTGCTGGGAATCGAACCGAGGTCCTCTGGAAGAACGCCAGTGTTCTTAACTGCTGAGCCACCTCTCCAGCCCCATATTTTCTCTTTTCAAACCTCATGGTTTGAATGTGACATGTCCCTCATAGGCTCATGGGTTTGACTACTTGGTCCTCTTGCAACTGTGTCCATATCTGTTTGATTTTGTTTATATAAAGTATCCAGAAAAAGCAAATCTATGATGTATAAAATAGATTAGCACTTGCTTAGGGTTGAGGTGGGAGGGAGAGTGGAGGATGGCAGCTAAGGGTATGGGCTGTTCTCTCTCTTTAGGAGGTGATGAATAACTATAACTATAACTAATTGGTTGTTACTGGTTGTTCAGCTCTGAAAAATGAGGCTACTATAAACCACCACTGGGCTAGAGATGTAGCTCAGAGGGTAGAGTGCTTGCCTGGCATATACATGGAATCCTGAGTTCGATCCCCAGCACGGTATGAACGGGAGAGGTGATGCCTGCACAATAGAGGTAGAGGCAGGAAAACCAGAAACCCAAGGCCATTCTTAGCTACCAGGGCTGTTTGAGTCCCTGTCTCAGAAAAAGCAAAAACAGCAATAAAAACATCCCCCAAAATATGACTGAAAAGGATATGTTAAAATCCTCAGCTGAGGTTATAGGTGGTCTATTTTCTTCCCTTTGTATATTTGAGTCCATGCTGCTAGGGAACACAGGTCTAAACTGATACTTTACAGATGAAGTGTGCAGCGAACAGGGTGAGCGTCATCTTCCACAGTGCTTTTTTGTTATGATGTCTGGAGTGTTCTATGGTAGTTTCCTTTGCAGCTCCAAAACAATTGAAAAAACAACCACGAAGATTATATAGAAATCTTTGGGCCATGAGTAAGTATGGTAGTAGATTAAATTCCTTGAAAGTGCTACTGCCAGCAGGTATGTGGGGTTTGAATTTGATAGGCAACATCAAGGCTGCACTCCCATCCCCCGATATCACAGCGCTTCTGCACACTCAGCTTTTCTGTTTGCTTGTATGAACAGCGCGCATAAACCACACAGCTTTGCATGAAACCCTATCCACATGGTGAGCATCCCCTGATGGGCATCCCAGTGTGGACTGGATGGGGACTGATGCCCTTGGAAGAAGCTCACCTTGCTGATCTCTGTCAGAGACATGGTGATGGTGTAGAGTTGGTTCTTGCTGGTGCTGGCGATCAGGGTTTCTTCTGATGGGCTGAAGCACAGGCACAGAACATCCTGTTTGTCTGACTGACTTGGGTCATTGCTTTGTGGGTCCGTAGGGATCTGCTCAAGGCACAAAACAGCCATCAGCCATTCTCAGTCACGGTCCCAAATCGTCAGCGTGTCCCTGGCTACAAGGGTTCCAGACTCCTGACCCAGCTACCTCCCTGATCTTACTCGGGTCTGGAGAAGGGAGGACTGGCATGTCTCTGCTTCCATCAGTTTTAAAGAGCACCACGTATTCATTTTGCAGCAACTAGCATCTGAACAGTAAGAGAGCCGCACACGTGGGAATGAGTGGGCCAGGCATCCCAATGTGAGATCCCTAAGATATGCACATTTGTTTAAACCCACTCCAGCTGCTCACCTGTGGGATGCCCAGTGCATGGGCTCACTTGGCACCCAGCACATCTGTGTGTACTTCAGGGCATTGGAGGGATGTGGTGGCCCCTCTATAATACGGGGTGGGTAAAAGGGTTCAGGAGAAGAAGGGGTCACTGCTGCCTCCAGCAGTAGGCTTGGAGGGGAGCTGTTGTTCTCAATGAGACATAATAAAATTAGATTTACTTTCCCCCTCTATATTAGCTTCTGTTAGTGACAAGATGTGCTGACTGGCCAGCCTACTCAGGTCTTAGTTTCTTAGAGAAGTGGTTCTCAACTGTGAGTCGTGACCCCCTTGGGATAGAATCTCAGCTATTTACATAACAATTCATAACAGTAGCAAAATTATAGTTATGAAATAGCAATGAAATAATTTTATGGCTGGGGGGTCACCACAACATGAGGGACTGTAGTAAAGGGTCCCAGCATTAGGAAGGTTGAGAACCACTGGGTTAGAGCCTGTGTCGTTCCCTGACAAATGGGGGGGTCTGCTCAACACTGAAGCCTCTGCCCAGTCACACCTCCTTGGTGTTTCTATACTCTGTGGGTCTCTGGGGCATGGGACACTGGGTTCTTGTGCATGGCTTCCTATGCTTGGATGTAGCCTGGCCCTTCTTCACATGTCCCACACCGCTCACTCCACCAACAAGCCTTCCCTGAGCCCCTGGGATATGGAGACAGATATCTCCAAAATGTACCAGTAGCACCTGGGGCCCCATCTTGTCACATTTAATCACACCATGCAAAGTAGAATGGGAGCTCTGGGCTGAGGACCCTGTCCCAGCTGCTTCACTACTGTGTCCCAGGGTGTGCATAAGGTCCTGGAGTGCAGCAGGCACGCAGTGGAATGATGGATGCAATAAATGGGTGGAAGCAAACATGGATGGATACAGTGAATGCATGGGTGTGGCCCTGTTCTCAAACACAGTAAGTTCCTGTAGAGAAGGGGTCACACCTGACTCCACCATCTTGGCCACCAAGCATGGGATCTGTCCCCATGGTAGGTGCACAATAGATATGTGTTAAATGAGCAATGACCTCTTTCGCTTTCTTTATTCTCCTTAATCATTTCCCCTCCCTCCCTTTTTCTCTCTCTCTCTCTCTCTCTCTCTCTCTCTCTCTCTCTCTCTCTCCTTCTTCCTTTGTGTGCTTGTGAGGTGTGTGTGTGTGTGTGTGTGTGTGTGTGTGTGTGTGTGTGTGTTTGTGTATGTGTGTGCACCAATGTGTGTTCATGGATATGATGGCCAGAAGTTGACACCGGCTCTCCTCTTCTGCTGGTGGCCACGTCAGAGGAGCAGTAGATGGCAACTGATTTCAGGAGATTGGCCCACCAGAAAGCAAAGCACCAATGGGTGAATCTCGGCTAGGCAAGGCCCGAGGGCTCTGGCTCAGGAACGTCTCTTGCTACTGCTGTGTCTTCGCATGTTTGCCACTGCTGGTTTTTTTTTTTGTTTTTTTTTTTTGTTTTTCTGGTATCTGACATGGTGTGAATGGGTGTGTGTGGGGAACCCCCCACTGCCTTTAATGTAGTGTGATTATCTCATGGAAATATCCCGTTCTACTGACATTTTTATCTGTGGATTACTATGAAGATGATTTCCTCCTAAGCTGTACTGTTTAACTGAAACAAAGACTTTATACAGTAATAGTGTCAGTGTAAACAGAATTTTGATGATTGAAATGATTGTGACAGAGGTTAGTTTAGTGGGAAAATTAATAAAGGTAAAGGCAGGATATGGTGTTCCCCTCACCCCAATAAAGCAGGAGCTGCAGAGGACAGAAAATAAGAACAAGGAAGTGTCACACAGCTAGGACTTATGAGTTTCTCTTGAGGAGCCATATAGACTGTGGCTTAGGTTAATGGTTAAGGAAAACAACTGTGTCCTAGAAGCCAGGCTAGCTCAAGTTCTTCTCATCTTAATGTTGAGAGATGTGTTCACAGCTTTCAGTGTGCATAACAGCTAAAACAAAGCTTTAAATAATGACTTAAGGTTAAGTTAAGATGTTTTTGTTAATGGCTTTGAGATAGCAAATCTTAGGGAACAATTTAAAATTTAGAAAGGCACATAGTTGAGTGAGGAACTCCTTGAAGTCTAGAAACAAGAACAAGGACAGCCTGGTTATTATTAGCTGATGTGCCTTTCTTGCTAGGATGGGTTGGTGATCAAAAGTGATGACTAATTTCTTGTACCCATTTCTGCCCTCAGCTTCCTGATATAAAAAAATTGTTGATGAGTGGGTATGTACCCTAAGGATTGAAAGTAGAGCTGACTGGTTGTTTTTCATATATAAAAGTGCTGTGGAATAATCTTGTACACTGTAAAGATTTGTCACTCAAATTGGTTTAATAAAACACTGATTGGCCAGTAGCCAGGCAGGAATGATAGGTGGGGTGACCAAACTAAGGATGATGGGAAGGAGGAGGCAGAGTCAGGGGTTGTCAGCCAGACAGAGAGGAAGCAAGATGAGAATGTTGTACTGAAGAAAGGTACCAAGCCACATGGCTAAACATAGATAAGAATTATGGGTTAATTTAAGTGTAATAGTAATAAGCCTAAGCTACTGGCTGAACATTTATAATTAATATAAGTCTCTGTGTGGTAATTTGGGAAGCAGCTGCTGGGTATTTGGGAGTTTCTGGTGGGACAGAAAACTTCTGCCTACATAAAAGTTTAGATGTGATTCTTTTAAGATTTTTATAAGATTACAATTTAAAATAAATAATAAAGTGATTGATCCTTTCCTTGTAACCATAAAATGCAGCCTGCCAGTAAAAGAACTGGCTAAGAAAAACACCTTGCTTGCTTACACTCTGTTATTCTATAACAAATTGCTTGGACATGAATGTATGTGGGTTCTTGGGAATAATTTGTTTTTCACTTGTGATACACAAAATGTTTGATCATGTAAGGGAAATGAAAAGCATGTTATTTTTCACCTGTATTCATTATAGTCATTCACTTGAAAAATAGAATGTAAACCACATTGTAATTTTTATATTGCCTGGGAGATTTTGCTGGGATACATAGCTGTAAGAGAAAAATTAATGATAAAGGATAAATCTAGATAGAGGTAAGAAAAGAAATAAAGAGATGAGAGAGAGAGATGATAGAAAGACCCTCAAGGGGTGTGTGTGTGTGTGTGTGTGTGTGTGTGTGTGTGTCCCTTTTTTTTACCAGCCCCAGAGAGTTAAGTTTTACTCCCTCAGTCTGCCAACTCCATGGCTCCCCCTCAATCCCTGAGCCACAGAAGGCTGGTCCTCAAAGCAGCACTCCTCTATTGCTCTCCACTGTAGTTTTGGAGGCAGAGTCTCTCACTGAACCCAGAGCTCACTGATTGGCTAGGCTGTCTGGATTGGCTAGCTCTCAGGATTCAACTGATATGGCCTCCTCCCTCTGCTTTGGGGTTATAGGTGCATACTACTGCACCTGCCTTTTGTATGGGTGCTGGGGATCTGAACTCAGGTCCTATTCTTAAATAGCAAAAGCTTTGTCTACTGAGCCATCCATCAAGCCCCTATTTTTTCTATATTTTTATCTTTTAGGGATTCTATCCTAACATGGGGGGTTTCACTGAACACAGTGATAGTGTCTCTAATTGTAATGCCAGATATTTAAGACAGTAGGAGCAAGGTCCTAGGGACTAGGTAGTAGGCTGTGTATGTCAGGACATGCTGAGCATTCTTTCTCTGTATGCACAGTGGTTTTCCCACCAGTCTCTAAGCTCACATTCCCAGCTGCTTTACTTTGCTCTGGTTTTGGATCAAATGCCACCTTCCTTGGAGAGACAGTGCCCAGATGGTTCTGGAACAGAGCCCCTCCAGCTTCTGGGTCTTCCTGGCTGGAGTTTCTGCCCTGTGTTGTTCTCATCTGACACACTGTTCATTTTTGCTTCTCTGCTTGTTGAGTCCTGAGCTGGGGCTTTTCATGTGCTGACACCCCCCCCAGCCTCCTCCTCTGCCCGTGCACCACACTGTGTGTCCAGCCCCCAACACTGAGCCTGCCAGGCTCAGTAAACATTTGATAAATACCTGTGACAGTTCTTTATGGGCTAAGTAAACTCTCACTGCGTCAGCTTGTGACTTCTCTCTCCAGTTTCCCTATTTCTGGCCTCTTTCCCAGGCTTCCCACTTCAAAGCCTGGACATCATTTCTGGGTGCTCATTGAGAACACTCCTCCTGCCTCTACCCAGAATTAGTCTTCACAAGGGCATTCTTTCTTCCCCTTGCCCCTGCTACCCACGGCTATGATCTTAGGCCTCACTAGCTTTGGGTTACACTAACCAAAAAGCTCTCCACTGATTCCTGGCTACAGCCATGTGGCCACTGCCATTCTTTGAACACTGAGTACCCAGCAGTGCATGTGGGGATCTACACAGCCTCCCGTCTCATGCCTTTTACCTCTGCCTCTCATGGGGGTTATCATATCATGCTCGAAACAGAGAAACACAGCTTTGGAGGTTCAAGAGCTCATTTCAGCCAATAAATCACAGAGTTATTTCTGACACCATGTATCATGGGCAGATCAAATTTTTCTTAAACATAGTCCTTTCCACCCCAAATCCTTGTGGGCTGCTGAAGTATGTTCCAGACCGGCATTTGCTACCTTTCACTGGCCACGGTGGCCCTCTTTTCCTTTCAAGTGTCATGAGCCCCTTTGTACAGGGCAGCAGGGCATGCCTAAATGCACCATTGTCTCCCCGAGGCTGCCAGGGTGTCCCTGCTGAAGCTGCTGTCTCCACCTGGAGTTCCTGGTTATGTACTCTTGTCAAGTGTCCTCCATGTTCTAAGATCCCTCAAGAGTAGCATCAAACACCAAGGAGCCTTCTGGGCTCCTCCCCAACCTGCTTTACTATGCCTGTCTCCACAGCTTTCTAGGTTGAGGACCAGGACAGTCTGAGACTTTCCCTGGGACCCTGATGTATGGAAAAATAACTCAGTTATTTGTCTAAAACCAGGTACATGCCAGCCAAGGCCAGTAATGACCTAGGGCCAGGCCTTGGGGAAACCAGTTTTCTGGGTCCTGAGAACTTGACCCTTCCGCCTTTGAAGGGTTGTGGTCATCAGTCCCAAGGCTGTTGAGTGCTTGATCTTTGATGCACTTGAGATATCCATGATGTCCTCATCTATCATGGTATCTCCCTCTTGCTTGACTAGCTTCCTGCTGACTTCATCCCACTGTACAATAGTTTTCTGTTGACTCTGTCCCACGTCCCCCTGCAAGCTGCATAAAAGATGCCGCTCTTGTTAACAAACTTGCTTGCACGAGTCATCAGCGTAAGGACCCCCTGATCCCAACTTTCCTATCCTCTTTATTTTCTCATCTCCTGGTCCTCCCCCGCAGGACTCTGTCATTGAAGAACAACCTGCTGGTTCAGGTCATTTCTGTATCATTTATTCCATAAATGTGTGTGCTGGCCAGTGTGCTTAATATCGTGGATATAATAATGGAAGGGTTATGGGATATCAGAGTTCAGGGAGGAAGTCTCTCTGCATTAATTTGACACATTTCCCCAAAGGACTTAAATCCAGATCTTGCTACTTCTAAATCCCAATCCAGTTTCCCAGCTCCTGAGTTTCTCAGGACGGGGCTCGCTGACTGAAGGACTTCTCTGCAGTCCTTCCTGGTGAAATGCTCTGTCAGAACATGGCTGCTGCAGAACAATGCCCTCCAGGACCCCGTTTGCTTCCTCCTTACCCGGATCTCCCTGCTCTCTCGGTAGAAGTCCTTCTCTTCCACCTTCTCAAAGAGTAGCACCCTGCCCGGCCCGGCCGAGCAGGCGAACCCCTTTGAATAGGCAGCGATGGCAAATACTTGGGGCATGGACATGTGGTGGGGGTAACTGGTTGCCACCATCTGTTCGAAGGAGGGGACTGGGGAGCTTGGTGGTGGAAATTCGATCAGGCTGGAAAAGGAAGAGAGCACATGATGTTGTTTTGGAGACAATCCTAAGGAGAAGCATTAAGCTCTGGGGGGTGGGGGCGGGGAGATGGCCGGCACACAAATTTAATTCCAGGACACAGGCAGGTGGATCTCTGTGAGTCCAAGGCCAGCCTGGTCTATACAGTGAGTTTCAGTATGTAGGCCACATAAGGAGACCCTGTCTTCTGAGAGATATCTTTGGTTGTGAACAATGCCACCCACGGATCTCCTTTCCCATAGCCAAATGCTGCTGTCTGGCTTGGGAACTCTACACGGCACAGTGAGTATGTCTGCTAGACAGAGGATGGGGATTACCAACTTAGTTTAGAAATAAGTGGTTCAGGGGACTGGGTATAGTAAGATAATATAACTGCCTGGCAGAGCTGAGATTTGAACCCAGGTCTCTTTTCCTATTTCTTTAGTCATACAATAAATATTTATACCTGCTCATAAATGTTAATTTAGAGTTATAAGGGCTCCGTGAAACCACAGTATATAAGATCAGCACAGTCCTTGGCCCCAGAAGCTTCAAGTCTCAGGCTCATGTGCTAAGGACTGCTAAGGGGCAGCTAGGCATGCCACAAAGACCTAGCTACAGGCAATACAGGCTTTCTGAGGGCAGGAACTGAGGAGGTGCACCTGCCTTAGGCGAGCAGAGGCCAAGTGCTCTTGGTCAGGCACTCCAGGGCAAACGGGAACCGGTGAGCATGCGTCTGTGTGTTGGGGTAGCAAGCGGACAGAGAGAACTGCACGGTTGAGCCCACAAGCAAGAAAATACATCGGTCATGCAAGGAACCCAGAGATGAGAGCTGATGTTCCTTTTCAGGAGGGGAGAGAGGAAGCGCTGCTGGGCTGGGCTAAGGGGCCTTTGTGCTGGGAGTCCTGGACCCACCAAAATACTGTGCATATAGCGGACATAGACACGTGTCTTCATAAAATGTTGTTACAAAGTTTCAAGATGTAGCGGCACATAAGGGATGATCTGAACTACCTAATGGAAGTAGTCATTACAAAAGGGGGAAATAATTCCATCAAGACTTCCTTAGGAAGCCATTCTCAAGCCACAAAATAAAGACATACCAACCGGCATGGGGAGGGGTTGTGGGAATTGGGGGACCAGAAGTTACTGAGGAGGAAGAATCCACAGGGTGCCAGGTGGCGGGGAGATTGGGCTCTTGGCTCAGAGAGAAGGAAATGGAATTCTGGTCCCTGTCAGAGAGCAGTGCTGAGATCTTAGGTCTCCGTCCCCTGGTCTGTAAAGCTGGCGTGATGATGACAGACACTGTGAAGGACAGGACTCCCATGGCTTTGTCAACAGTGTCTGACACATCCCACAGCAATTCCACTATGTGTGAGAGGTGACACTCCTGTCACAATGCAGATGGAACCACCCCTCCCCAGTACCCCCCACCAGACAGTCTTCTGTCAGATCTACTGAATCCACTTCCTTAGCCCTCTTTGCTCATGGTTACCTCCCATTCGACTGTCACCGCCTGAGGGCCTGTCAAGTCGCCTTGCACACCGCAAGGGCTCTGAGGGCCTTTATGTCATGAATTTGGTAAATTAGGCAGCCAGCCATAGAAAACATGCTTTTGAAAAAAAAAAACAAAATTTTGAAGACTTGTCATACTGAACTGTGTATAAAATGAGACTAGGCATAAAAATAAAAAGAGTTGTATGTAGGCCATGGTCATCATGGCCAGGTTTGTGCTTGAATAGAGATGGATGCTGAAAGAGAAGGAAGAAATGGGTGTAGCTGGTTTTCAAGGGGAAGGGTGGAAAGAGGCTTAAACAAGACTATTGTTAGCTTATGTCTTTGGGTCTAGCTCGTATGTATGTAAGTGTGCTGCATGGGTACATGGTGCTTGAAGTGGCTGTCCCCTCTTATAACAGGACCCACTCTAACAGGACCAGTTGTTTTTTTCCCCCAGGGGCTAGTTTGCTAAAACCTCTGCCCCATATCACCCCACCATCCTATGCTGACTCATGTCTGGCTTCAATCAGACCCTCAGGAAGTACGTCCAGTCTAGTAGCCAATTAGGGTTCTACCTAGTCACAAGCAGGAACTGTTCTTGCTATTTTTAGTCAAACAGACCCCTGACACAGAAGACAGACCCCTGACACAGCAGACAGACCCCTAACACTGCAGACAGACCCCGGACACTGCAGACAGACCCCTGACACTGCAGACAGACCCCTGACACTGCAGACAGACCCCTGACACTGCAGACAGACCCCTGACACTGCAGACAGACCCCGGACACTGCAGACAGACCCCTGACACAGCAGACAGACCCCGGACACTGCAGACAGACCCCTGACACAGTAGACAGACCCCTGACACAGCAGACAGACCCCTGACACTGCAGACAGACCCATGACACTGCAGACAGACCCCTGACACTGCAGACAGACCCCGGACACTGCAGACAGACCCCGGACACAGCAGACAGACCCCTGACACTGTAGCCACAGTTGCTGGCCAGATGTCATGAGCCAATCATAAAATGACTCCTGTACCAGTAAGAGTCTATACCCAATCACTTCAAAGTCAACTTAACCACAGCTGGAATTCCCCTAATCCTGCATAAAAGGAGCCTGCGGGCTTCTCTCGGGGTCACCGCTTTGCCATTTTGTCAGACGGCTTTACCCCAGCATGCTGGAATTTTTATTCTCAAGAAATTAAATGCTCTTATTGATTACTTATGTGTCTGATGGGCTTTTTGTGGGACTTCTCATGGACCCTAACAGTGCCCTCAGAGGCCAGAAGATGGCGCCAGATGTCCTGGAACGATTGTGAGCTGCCATGTGGGTGCTAGGAACCAAATCTGTGAGAGGCTTCGGAAGAAGCTCGTTTTAAGTAGCTTGGGCAGAACCAGGAGGGTGGGCACTAGCCCAGCAGAGGGCACTGTTACCTCTCTGACTTGTGGATGACATCCAGGCTCTTAGAGCTAGTGGGCTCCTTGACCATTATGTTCGTCTCCCAGCGCTGATCTCCCGATTCAAAGAGACAGAGCCTGCCGGTGTCAGTGCCGGCGATGACCCTGTCATCAGACACCCAGGCATGGGCCAGGTAGTTGGGGGACTCCCCCCTCTGGAAATTGGTTTGCTTTAGGGTTCCTTCAGAAAAACGGAGCAGCTTAAATAGCCCATTTCCAGTGACACACACTTGAGTATTGTCCTGGGGGTTGATGCTGACCTGCAAAATGTCAGGGGACAGAAGAAAAAAAAAAGACAGGCTGACTCTTGATGCAATTATTCCCACTTTACCAGTTAATACTCACTTTAGGTAGTTCAGAATGTCTCCTACGTATCATAGAATCATGGAATTTTATATTTGATAAAGATACACATCTATAGCTACTGGATGGACTATCAGTCAACACACTTTAAAAAGAAAGTAGAATAAACAATCTTTTTTTTATTTTTGTAGCCCAGGCTGGCCTTGAACTCACTATGTAGCCCAGGCTGGTCTTAAACAGATACTCCTCCTACCTCAACTTCCCGAGTGGTGTGATTACAGGCATGCACTAACATGTTCTCTCGTCTGAGCAGAGCTATATTCTGTGCCAGCATGAGGGAATGCAGTTCATTTGGAAACAGAGACATGGGGTTGAGCCGGTGTATGGAGGCCTGTCCAGGGGGAGGAAAGCACACATCTGGAGGGATGATGTGGTCTTCCACCAGATGGATTTCCTGCAGCTGGAGCCCTTATCCAACACACACTAAGGGCAGTTAACCTGCTGTCCTCACTAGACAAAGAGCAACTTGTGGTACATTGTGCCGAGTCTCTGCGTAGGTGCCGAGGGGCACCTAGTAGGTGCTCATTGGATCTACTACAGAGGAGGTGCTCTCTGCTCTGAGGAGGGCTCATCACTGGGATACTATGTCCCGGATGAAACAACCTTTTGGTTCTCCCTGCCTCTGCGATTCGGCAATCAACACTCTTCTCTGTATTAAGAAGGGATGTGAGTGTTTTGCTGGTGGTGCCCTGGCTCACACATCAACCTTTGAGAAACGAATGATGCATGCTTAAAGCTCTGATGAGCTGGTATCTCTGACCATGGACAGTACAGACTTCTCGAACTTATGAAAATGAATACATGATACTGGACAGAAATATAAAATCTTGGGACTCCCTGCCTAAGCAGTCAGCTAACCTGTTTCCGAGTGGCTCATTTTGTTCTGAAACCACATAGAAAATTCTGTTCTGCACACAACTGTAACTTCCTTACACATCTACCTTTTTTTCTGAGCATGGTCCCATCCACCTCTAATCCCAGCACTTGGGAGGCAGAGGCAGGGGAGATCGTAAATTCATGGCTAGCCTGAGCTGTGTAGTCATAACCTGTTTTAAAACCCACATAACACCCCTCCTAAACAAAATTAAAAACCCAAATCTACCAATTTATATGCCGTTCCTGAAATCCTCCTGCTGCCCAAAGGGGCCAGAACCTAGGAGAGTAAGTTCTAGATACCGCAGCTGGGTCTAGCCTGTGCCAGGCAGTAGTTCTGGGCCAGACGAAGGAAGACAGAAGACAGCTGGAAAACAGCTGGTTCTGCCTCTCACCACCTCTGCAGTCTTGGCTGAGTTACTTGGCCTCTTAGGGCCTCAAGTCCCTCATCTCTAAGATGGAATAATAATCACATATTCCTATGTGCTTCTCGTGAAGCCGGGTGTTAAAACACACGGTAGAAATGAGTATAAAGTGCCAAGTAGAAGTCGGCGCTTACTGCTTTACAATGGGGAAGGCATGTGCCATGCCAGGAGGTACCTGGTAGATGGGGTTGTTCTGAACATCAGATCTAACAATGGCCATTACTTTCTGCTTTTCCCATAGCCAATAGACGAGGTTTGACTCTGGAGGCGACGTCTGGGTCAGCAGGTATTTAGAGTCTGGAGAAAAAGCCATGCTGATAAACTTTTGAACTTGGAAGTCAAAATTATTCAGGACTTTGCGCTTCCGGCAAGGGATGGATGACAGCTCATAAATAGTGATGGTAGGTTTTTCCAGCACAGTCTCGGAGATAGCGAGGTATCGCCGATTGGGACTGATGGACAAGGCCAGCATGCCCTGACTCTTGTCTGAGCCTGCAAAAGGAGGTAAAAGGGGGGACTGAGGGCAGACAAAGTTTCCATCAAGGTCCAACCAGGCTTAGCAAGGGGCACCACCGACAGAGGAGAAAGGTGTATGATGTGCAAAGATCAGTCCTGGGCCACCTCTTGGTTCAACTGTATGCAGGCAATTGTGAAAATGACAGGGATGGGCACCTCACTAGGTGAGCGAGGATGCCAAGGAGTCTTTTCTGAGTCAGGACCAGATAGGATGGAGGAAGTTGCACATGGCAGGAGAAGCTCAAGCAGTGAATGGCTGTAATAGAGGGTGCATATGGTGGGGGAAATCCCAAGGAGATGGATTGCTGGAGCACTGTGTGGGAGTCAGGAGTGACCAGGGATGGGCCGACAAGGGTGGGGTAGGCTCCAATCCTGCAGGCCTTCACACCTTGAGAATCCAGCATTGGGTACTCTACCGCAGAGGCTGAATGCTAGCTACTCAATTGCTCAGTCTGGCAGCTAGGCAGACACGGAAGTCTATGATGAAGCTTTGTGCTTCCTTGATAAGCAGGAAGACATGCATACTCTCTTCCCTTTTCCTAGAATTTAGAGACGATAGCCAGAAACCCTGCCAGCATCTTGCAGTCACACAGATGAAATGAAAGCTGTGGTGAGGATTAAAGTGTGACACTTCATCCAGAAGACAGAATAGGGCCACAGCAGGCCCTACTATGTGGGCCTTGGGCATTTTGCTTTCACGGGTCTCTTCCTTCATTAAAAATGATAAAAATAGGGCTGGTGACTTTTCTACAGGACCGGAGTTAGGTTCCCAGCACCCACATCAGGTGGCTCACAATCACCTGTAACTCCAGCTCCAGGGGGATCCAAAGCCTCTGGCCTCCACAGGCACACACCCCCGCCCCCCGACATGCACATGCCTCCTGTGCATACATGTACACATAATTATAAATAAAAAAATTAAAAATAGGGCTAGCAAGCTGGCTCAGTGGGTAAGAGTGCTTGCTGCTTTAGTCCACACTATGATCTTCACAAAACTCACTTAAGGACACCGTTCTCAACATACCTGTTCTTGCACAAGGCATGGCTATGCCAAGCACCTGCCCAGAAATTTGATGCCCAGAACCCACATGGTAGAAGGAAGGAACAAATTCCTACAAGTTGTCTTCTGACCATCACATGCATGCCATGGCAAGCAGGTGTACAAGCATGAACACACACACACACACACACACATACACACACACACACACACACACACACACACACAATGAATAAATAAGTGTAACAGAATTGAATAGATATGTATATTATGTACATATATATTCATATATTTGGTGGTTGCACTTACATAGACAGGAATAGAATCCAGGCTGGATTTGCAATCATATAATCACTATTGCTGTATTCATTTTCTTCTCCTATTAATACAAAGTAAATCTTTTCAGAGGCCTCAAAGTATTGTGGGCCGTCGGCACTGTGCAGAGGGGTGAATCACTGTGAATGTGGGTCCCAGACAGGGCGGTTGAGTGGGGTAGAGGAAGATGCACTAGCAGATTATGGGAGTCCCTCTGTGATGGGCTCCACGCTGCTACTTTCCAGCAAGCTAAGGAGGGATGAGTGAGTGTATTGTCCTGCAGCACAATTGCCCCGCACACCGAACTTCTGCAGGGAGCCTGGAGGGACAGCTGTGTGGGAGAGGAGCATGGCTCTCGGTTACTGAGAGCCTTGCACAAGGCTTAGATTGCAGTTGGGAGGCAACAGGAGCCACTGGGAACCTTTAGGAAGGGTCAGATGTGCGCTGTAGGAAAATCTCCCCAGCAGCTGTGTGGATGGCAGTCCTGAGGCAGGGAAACTGGTCAGAGGGGAAGCGAAGAGCTAGAGGTGATGGTGGCAATGTGCTATATGAAGGCAGCAGGAACAGTACACACGTCAAAAGGGGCGACTGGGGAAATGTTAACAGGTAGAACCGATAGAATCCAGTGAATGACATTGAGGTTTCTGGGCCCTGTGGAGAAGTGGGACACCAGGGGTGGAGTACAGGCTGGACAAGCTAGACTCTGCTGATTTTTCCTTAAAATGGCCCCTCTGAGTCACTGAACTTTAACTATGTGTATTTGTTTCTAGTTTTTAATAATTTGATTGATTTACATTTAAATCTTCAATCTTTCCTGGGCCCATGATGAGAAAGGATAATTAGTGAGACTCTGTTGAGAGTGTGTCCTGCTCTTTCAGAAGAACTGGGTTCGATTCCCTGTACCTGAGTTGGGAGGCTCAAACTGCAGGTAACTTCAGCTCCAGGGGATCTGATATACTCTTCTAGCCTGCAGGCACATGCACACTCATGCAGACACACATACATACACGTTAAAAAAAAGAAGTATGACTCTTAATGGCTTCCCATTTCTCAAAGACATAACTGGCTAGCTTAGCACTGAATCCTAATAGTACTTGTATATTAAAGTTACACATTTATATACATATTTACTGGGCTTCTGGGATATTTATGCCTGGGTCTCATTGCTTTGGTAATAATGTCTTTAACATGAGTTTGGATATCCAGCAAGGAAAGAACAGGAGGAAAGAGGAAATAATAAAAATGGATTTTGGATGTATACTATAAACTCCATAGTGTGAATATTTTGGGGTAAAAGGATGTAGAAGCTGAGTAAGATTTTGAAGCTGAGGGCAGAGGTTGGGACTGAGGCAAGAATGGGAGGGAAATGGCTTAAAGCTAGGGGCATGTTCGTGTCTGGAGGAGGCAAGGGGAACGTGTTTACACATGTGCTTTCTACCCGGATGCACTGTGGGAAGCGTTTGTCCCCCTCATTGATACAAGTCTGAGTACTGGAAAGCACACGCTTATCTCTGCTACAGCACGGAGCTTGTGGAGGGCAGGGAACATGGCTTTCTTGCTCATTCATTCATTTGTTCATTTACCAGGGACTGAATACCAGCAGGTGCTTGGCATAGCCATGCCTTGTGCAAGAACAGGTATGTTGAGAACGGTGTCCTTAAGTGAGTTTGGTGAAGATCATAGTGTGGACTAAAGCAAGATGTCTACAGCATCACTAGGTAACACAGTCCTCTAGGACCACTGTTGTGACATGGTCACTGATGGCAATACTTCCATGTGGCCCATGACCAGACTTCTTGACTGATTTTAGTTTGTCAGACATACTGCGCTCAGTCCAGTTAATTCACTTATCCTTGAAATACCTCCATCTCTTCTCCCCTTTTCTTGGTTCTTCTTCTGCTAGTTCTTCCACGGCTCCTCCCTGTAACTGGAGTAGGGTCTCTGAGTTAACGGAAGCCTGGGAGTCCAAACTGCCCCTTTACATTCCATTTAGTTGCTTCTCTGTGTGTCAAGCAGACATGTCTCTTCTCTCAACCCTTTCTCACTCTGGCTGCTCAAGTATAACAACTGTGCTTCTGTGTCTGTTTAGGGGAAACCAGTCTCGCCTACTCCAAAACAGACCCCGGACTGCCCCCACCCTGCCTTATGCATCCCCTTACCTGATGTTATCAGTCCCCTCTCAAGATGTTTGAGATCCCAGAGAACTCTTAGGTGAATGAGAAAGGAAAACAGGAAGTGGGACACACACACACACACACACACACACACACACACACACACACACACACGGGGACACACACACACACACACACACACACATACACGCATGTGCACACACTCACACATAGACAAAGAAGACATTACAAACATCTAGGGAAAGACTGTGTACCACAGAAATAAGATCCCAGTGGCTAATTCCTTAGCTACTATAATAAAGCAGAGGCCAAAAGACAATGGAATAAAACCCATACCCCCAAAATTCTATACCCCATCAAACTAGCTTCTTAAATGAAGATGAAATAAAACATTCTCAAACTAACAAAAACTTGGAGAATTGAGCACTATGTCTCATCACTAAATGTCGATGGGAAAGGATCCCAGCTGGACTATATGAATTATACAAAGCAACAGTGGCAGAACCTAGTGAATATGAGAGAAAATATACTCAAATATTGTCTGTATATATAAAATGATGGTTGTTTTAGTGTTAGTAAGTCATATACAAAGTTCTATATTAGATACAGAAAATACATGCTAGGAAATCCATAATCTGTTCACTGAGGGCAAAAGCCCAGAAAACTGGGAAAAAAGAATTTATTTAACCTGATATAGGACACTGACATTTGTTCACAGCAAATATCTTTCTTTATAAGGAGATATGAATAGAATTTCTTTATGACCAGAAACATAACGACTAGGAGCATTTTCATTGCTTCTACTCAACTCTCTCAAGATGCTTCCCAGGATAGTGACACAAGGTAAAGAAACCATTATTATTGTAGATGTGTCTATAGAAAAGTTACTAGAGTTAGTGATAGTCCAGCAAATATGCTGGACATAAAAGATAATAAATTCAACTCTCTCTCTCTCTCTCTCTCTCTCTCTCTCTCTCTCTCTCTCTCTCTCTCCCTCTCCCTGTGTGTGTGTGTGTGTGTGTGTGTGTGTGTGTGTGTGTGTGTGCTCGTGCACTTGCCATGGCACATTTGTGGAGGTCAGAGGACACCCTGGGGTGTGGGTCTTCCACCCTGTTTGAGGCAGGGTCTCTTTGCTGTTCACTGCTGTGCATGCCAGGCTAGCTGGCCCACAGGCTTCTGTGGCATCTCCTATGTCTATTTCCCATCTTTCCATAGAAGCAATGGGATGTCAGATGTGTGCTATCACCCCTGGCTTTATGTGGGTTCAAGTTTAGGTCCTCACACATGCCCGGCAAGTGCTTTACCCACTTCGTTATGTCCCCAGCCCCTCAACTATACTTAATATGGTTTATTCTTCCATAATGTTTACATGGTGTTTGATAACTTTTTTGGAGGGGAGTTGAGACAGAGTTTCCTTGTGTAACAGCTCTGGGTGTCCTGGAACTCACTTGTAGACCAGGCTGGTCTTGAACTCAGAGTTTCTTCTGCTTCTGTCTCCTGAGTGCTGGGATTAAAGGTGTGCGCCACCCCTGTCAGACATTTGATAACTTTTACTTCATTAAAACTAAGAATTATTGTTGGGCAGTGGTGGCACACGCCTTTAATCCCAGCACTTGGGAGGCAGAGGCAGGTGGATTTCTGTGAGTTTGAGGCCAGCCTGGTCTACATAGTGAGTTCCAGCACAGCCAGGGCTGTTACACAGAGAAACTCTGTCTTGAAAAAAAAACCCAACCAACCAACCAACCAACCAAACAAACAAACTAAGAATTATTCTCCATCCCAAGATACCACGAGGAGGAAAAAGCACAGACTGCAGAAGAGAATTATTTCTAACACATGCATCTGACAAATGATTAGCATACAGAGTATACAAGTGTGTCCATAACTCAAGAGAGCTACCCCTCAAAACGAAACTCACAAAAATAATAGAAAAGTTGATAAAAGCCATTTAACATAAATTGAAGCAGGGATATTCCATAAACATGTGAAAAGATACCCATCTTAATTAGCAATACAGACATGCAAGCTAAAACAACAGATCCCTTTTTTGATAACTAGAATCTCTCTCTCTCACACACACACAAATTAGGAAGTTGAACAACAGCAAGAGCTGGTGAGGATGGGTAATAGGGACACTTATGCATTGCTAGTAGCAACATAAACCAATATGATCACATTTCTCAGTAATTTTAGTTCTGGCCGTGTGTCCTGGAACATCTTTGCAGACTTGTGTGAATGCAAGAATAGTTAATGGTGGTATGTTTCTTTTTTTTTTTTTTTTTTTTTTTTTTTTTTTTTTTTTTTGGTTTTTTCGAGACAGGGTTTCTCTTTGTAGCTTTGCGCCTTTCCTGGATCTCGCTCTGTAGACCAGGCTGGCCTCGAACTCACAGAGATCCGCCTGCCTCTGCCTCCCGAGTGCTGGGATTAAAGGCGTGCGCCACCACCGCCCGGCTTGGTGGTATGTTTCTTTTTTTTTTTTTTTTTTTTTTTTTTAGATTTATTTATTTATTATGTATACAGTGTTCTGTCTGCATGTATCCCTTCAGGCCAGAAGAGGGCACCAGATCTCACTACAGATGGTTGTGAGCCACCATGTGGTTGCTGGGAATTGAACTCAGGACCTTTGGAAGAGCAAGCAGTGCTCTTAACCTCTGAGCCATCTCTCCAGCCCGGTGGTATGTTTCTAATAGCAAATAATTGTTATTTCCCACATGCCCCTCAAATCTAGAATGGCTATAGAGTAAGTGTGTGTGTGTGTGTGTGTGTGTGTGTGTGTGTGTGTGTGTGTAATCCCAGAATGGAATGCTATAATGCAACAAAATGGACTCAGTTCTATGTGTCAAAATGCATGACTCACAGAAGCTGAACAAAAGACGCTAGTAACAGAACACACAGACTATGATTCCATTTGTATAAAATAGGAAAATCGTGAAAACGAAAGTATACTTTGTATACACAGTGTGGTAAATGCAAGACCCAATGTAGTACATGCATGACCCAAGATGGGCTGGCCGGGGTGGTGGGGTGGTGGTGGGGTGGTGGTGGGGTGTACTGAGAGGAAAGCAATGGAGAGATACTGGAAATGGCTGATCCTGGGTGTCTGCATGCACAGATCTTTATGTAATAGTAATTCATTAGTGATTACATATATGGATTGTGGTCTTTCATATTTGCTTATGAATGAATAAACAAGTGGGGGAAACGTCATGAATATCACTGGCTGGCTGGACCAATGTAAATAAAAACAGGGGTCAGGTTCTAAGGAAGATAATTTGTGACTTAGGATAAGATTTCCAGTGTGTCCACCGTACAGGGATTCAATGAAGGTGCTGCGCTCTTGAAACTGTTAGACTCAAAAGGGGTTCTGGTGAGGACAAACCCAACTGCAGGAGACTACAAGAAAAACACTCTTCAAAGTAACTTCTGTGAAGTCACAGTGAAGAAATACTTTTAAAATCAGTGTTATTTTGCATGTCATTTTGACTACCTGTGTCAGGTTAACCTATTATTAAACAGTGCAAATTGACATTTATTTCGTCTACATTTATAAAAACTACATGTATATCCCAGCTGTCAAAAATAGACCTCCCTAATCGTCAAGACTGTGTGGTTCTGTGTAGCACATGCCTTTAATATTTGTGACAAGATGGGAAGGGTTTCTTTTTCTTTTTACCTGGAATGAATTTTTGCCATTTCTGATCCAGATTGTACTTCACACAGTGATTTCCTGAAGGAAATATAATGATCTGTTCATCGAAGAAGAAGATATTGTTGGCCACGTGGGCACGAAGACCAAAAACATGCAGCGCCTGAGCTACCACGGTGGACATGGTACCTGTCAAAGAATGCTGCTGAAGATGATCAGCAAGCAGGTGAGAGTGGAGAAGCACATCGCATCTCCCCGCCCCGCCCCGTCCACGGCCCCGCCCACGGCCCCGCCCCGCCCACGGCCCCGCCCCGCCCACGGCCCCGCCCCCGCCCCAGTCCTGAACTCCGCCTTTGGCCCGCCCCTCTCTGAGTTCACCTCACCCCTCTATCGCCCCGCCCCCAGACTCCTCTCCTCGTCGCCCCGCCCCCAGGCTCCTCTCCTTGTCGCCCCGCCCCCGCGGCTCCTTCCACGCTTTGCCTTTCTCTCTTGCTTTCTCAACGACCCCAGGCTCTTCAAAGGACCCCAGAGAAACCTCTCACCTCTCTCTTCACGACTCTGGGTTACCAGACCACGCAGGGATCCGCAGGTACTCCTTCTAAAGATCCGGAGTAACTCAGGCACGCCCAAACGCCACAGCAGTTCCTATAGCAACGAGAAACCGGAAGTGCGGCTCTGCAACCGGAAGCGGAAGCCCGGGTCGAAAAGCCTGAAGCGAGTGGAGAAGTTGTTGGTGCTGGTGTGTCTTCAGGGCACGTGGAGTGACGGGCTCACCCCGCGGGAGTGGGAGACCGCGAGATGGATACCCCTCCGCTCTCAGACGCGGAATCGGAAGAGTCCCTGGTCTCAGACCGGGAGGTAGGCGGCAGCGGGGCTCGCGGGGCAAAGCGTGGGACGGGAACTCTAGCTCTTTGGTCCTGACGCGCCCGGGTCTGTAGTTGCAGGATGCGTTTTCCCACGGACTCCTGAAGCCAGGCCTCAATGTTGTCCTAGAGAGGCCGAAGAAGGCGGTGAATGATGTGGTGAGCTCACTTGGGGGTCGGGGTCCTTGGAATGGGGTGTGCACAGAGCCGTGCTACTTGGGAGACAGATGTACCCTGCGCCTTGACCAGGCGGTCGGCTTCATGTGCTGGTATTTGAGCTTAGCACTTTGGGTTTGAGAGAGACAAACTCTGGGTTCTCATGAGCATCCTGTCTGACTTACCTAGAACGGTCTGAAGCAGTGTTTGGCTGAATTCAAACGGGATCTGGAGTGGGTTGAAAGGCTCGATGTGACCCTGGGTCCAGTGCCGGATGTCAGTGAACCTCAGCCTACACCCCAGAACAAGGACCAGAAGAAAGGTGTTAATCCAGAAGACGACTTCCAGAGGGAAATGAGTTTGTATGTTGTGTTATGGGTCCTGTGATAGAGAATCACCGGAAGGGGAACGTAGTATGCCTGCACCCGCAGAGGCTCTGAGGAGTTAGCCTGAACCTCAGAGTGGAGCTAGGGTTCCTCCTGCTTGAAAGACTAGCTCCTTGGTCATATTTAACCAGAGCCCTGCTTGAGGGCTATTCCAAATAACTCATTTAAAGTTTGTGTGGGTGCATCCAGTCATTAGAACAGACTGCCTAGGGACGGTTGTGAATGGACTTTCTGTAATGATTGGGAAAGAGTTCATAGTTTGGGTGTTAATGGTACCTTTAGTAAGCTCATCGTTTTAAACACCTGATTGGCTTTTAGAAATATTTCCCCCTTAAAAATGAGTGTGAAGTGAGATTTCTGTTACATATGAAATTAGTGGAGTTTTATCGAAGCTTTTGTTTGTTTTGTCTTGCTAGTGCCGGTGGGATGTCCATAGTCCCGAGACTGGTTAACTCCTGAGAGGCAATAAGAAATGGAGGCCTTTCTCCACCCCTCATTTCACTCTGTCCTGCAATTTCAGCTACCGCCAGGCCCAGGCCGCAGTGCTGGCTGTGCTACCCCGGCTCCATCAGCTCCAAGTCCCCACCAAGCGACCCACTGATTATTTTGCAGAAATGGCCAAGTCAGATCAGCAGATGCAAAAGGTAAGAGACAGGCAAGTTTTCCCTCTGGAAAGCCAAGGCTTCACCCTGAAGTATGTCCATTCAGCTGGCTCATTTCCTGTGGTCTTTAAAAAGGATTTGTGCTGGCTGTAATCAGTATTTTATATATGTAATTTATTTTTTTTATGTGCAGTGGTGTCAGAGTGTCAGCTTCTCTGTAACTGGAGTTGTCCTGCCAGGTGGAGGCTGGGAATTGAACCCAGGTCTTCTGGAAGAACAGCCCGTGCTCTTAACTGCTGAGCCAACTTTTCAGCCCCTGTAATCAGTATTTCTAAAGGAGAGTCTTTGCTTCAGAGGCACGCCAGTCACTTAGATAAAATAGGGAGAGAAGAGCTGGAAGAAGTGTCCTTGCAGTAAAGAAGGCTTGTGTATTTCCTTCCTGGCAGGGTTAGTGGCATGGTATATAGACACAATAGTCTTGTAGTTCTGGGCTCAGCATTGCCAACAAGAACATTATTGCTTATAGACAGGGTTTTCTTCTCTGGGCTTCTGCTTTCTAGAAAGTAAGAGGTTGATGTATGGCTCAGATAGAGTGTAATTTAGGGTTGGAGGACTTGATCTTCATTTAGTTTTGGGAGGAAAAGACTTTGACATGGAATCCAGGGTGTATTTAAATGGTTCATTTGGTCTCAGTCTTCATCTTAAAGAATTCCAGGTGGTACCCCAAGAAGCTAACCCAGAGACAAGCCCAGATACACCTGACAGTCATGCTGATGACTACCTACGCTTTCAGTAAAACGTGTGTGCTTGATGGCAGAGGCGAGGTATCAGTGTGCAGGAGTGTGATGACATGTGTGGTGGCCCGTTAGAAGAGGGCACTGAAGTTTAGCCTTAATCTGTAAACAGGGCTTGGGAGAAACAGGTCTTGTCTGACAAGCAGGCAGCTTTGTGTAATAGAACAAGCATACTTGAAGAGGCAGGGCCACTTTTAAGCTCTGGCTGCACACTGACACTTTTGGTGCCGGAATAAAGGCTGAACTTTGGGGCTGTATTATCCACATGTGGAAAACTAGGGAAGTACACACGCTCCACGGCTTTCAGAGTTAATGGACTACTGGAGCCTTGGTCTAGTGTGCTCCGTATAGTAGCTGACAACATCCTGTCTTTTAGATCCGACAGAAGCTGCAGACTAAACAGGCTGCCATGGAGAAATCTGAAAAGGCCAAGCAACTTCGAGCGCTTCGGAAGTATGGGAAGAAGGTGAGAAAGAACACCTGCACACAATAGGACAAGGCAGGAATGCCAGGGCAGGTGGCTGTGGTGTGATCTGGTTCTGGCCCCCTGTGAGTTTGGTCCTTACTGGTTTGGGTCTTACTGGTGAAGTGGGTCTGGCGGTTTCCCTGAGCACAGGTTCACTCAGCACCATGGGACACCATGGCCCACCCAACATAGTAGGCAGCAGCTGGTGCTCTGATTGGTAGTCTTTGGAGTCGTGGTTTGGGATGCATGCCTGACCACAAGGTGTCTGTCTCACAGGTGCAGACTGAGGTCCTTCAGAAGAGGCAGCGGGAGAAGGCACATATGATGAATGCCATCAAGAAATACCAGAAAGGTCAGTGTCTGTTAAAGGTAGGGGAGCCCGGGTATTGGGTACTTTAGAGCTAAAGGAATATAGTGCCATTTAGTGCTTTGCGGTCATCTTGCTTTTAATCTGCTGGGCTTAAGTTTGGGGAATGGTGTAGGGAATGAGGTGTGCTTCTTAAGATGCATTTAGGGAATAACAGCCATGTCTTGAACGATCCTAGAAACACAGTGGTGCTGATGGAAATGCTTCTTCCTTCACAGGCTTCTCTGATAAGCTGGATTTCCTCGATGGGGATCAGAAGCCTGCTGAACGTGGTGCAAAGGCAAGAGCTAAGGGCCAGCAGATGAGTAAAGGGTAAGGGTTTCAAGTTTGGTTTGTCTTGTGATGGCTAACAGTCAGTCCGGTGAGGGAGCTCCCCAGGGAAGGCCTCCAGTAGAGAGTACCATTGCTCAAGGGGTAGAGACTTTGATGCTATGGGATGGACCTGTGGCCCCAGGAATGTGTGAAGGGGGAAGTTGGTACCTGGATGTAGCGAGCACATACCCCAGTTACGGGGGAGGAATAATAGATCAGTTAACATGACTGTGTCAGCTCCCTTTTCCCACAGTCGGCACATATATTCTGCGTCTTTCTGTCCATTTTGGGCATAATCTTTCCGTAATTCTGAGATCTCCTGAGGAGTATATGGCCTGATTTCCTCAAACTTCGTTCCCATTTCAAATTTGGGACGATTACTACCTCCTCCAGTGCTGAAGGGGTTCAGAGCTGATATAGTACTTCTAATAGGAGTTCTCTTACTTTGGGTAGAGACAGGAAATGATGGTACGGTGTTACATCCATTCCATCCAGGAGTAGCGCTACGCTCCTGTTCCTTCCTCACTATGTTTAAGGCTAGCCTTTTGCCCATTAATCTGTCCTTATCAATATCCTGCACCGTTTTCATAAGCAGTGCGATAGTTTGTGCCTTGCTACATCCCTCTAATTCTTGTTCTACCACATCCGGATTTGTTAATGTGTTAGTTACATTTACTGATTTCATGCCGGCCTTATTTTTAACCTTGGAGGCTACTTTTCCCCACTGTTCTTCAACCTCATCTTGGTATTCTCTACCTGTCACTGGGGAGATGTTAGTCTTCTTAAATTTCTTAATTAATCTATTCATTGTAAGTGGTATACCAAGCCGTACAAAAATTTAATTAATTTTTTCCTACGGTACCACTCCCAGTCACTAATTCGTTTAGACTGATTCAAAGAATCAGTTATCAATTTTTCAAATTTCAAATCCGCAATCCTTTCTATCCTTTTGGCCAGCCAGCGCCTCATTTAGCTCTTTCCCAGCACCTTCCGCTCTTCCCCAGGGGTCTGGGTTGGCATCAAGGTGTCCGGTATTCTTTCGGTACTCCGCACCCTTAGGGAGGGTGGTGTTTCCCGTCTGCTTCTGATACTCTCTCTCCTACCAGTTCTTCCTCCTTGGACCTTCAGATTTTCTTTAGGTCCTCAGAGTTGACTTCGAGGAGTTGATTTCTCAGAGCGGCTTTGAGGTCACTTGCTAGTTTATTTGGTTTCCTGTAATTTGTTACTCCACCAGAGTAATAGCCAATTCTTTTGTATTACTTATTTTACATTCCTCAGTGCTCAGTGGTCAAGGAGGCTTTAAGCCCAAAATCCTGCCGACTACGCCAACTGTAGCGAGCACATACCCCAGTTACGGGGGAGGAATAATCACTCTTGATTCAGACTTGGTATAACACTCATTTATTCACACAGTAAGATTACAAGCAATATTCATCCTGTCTTCCAAATGGAAGCAGGAGTACCTCTCCGGGTATACAGGTCCGGACTCGCCACGTCTGTTCCTCTGGATCTTGGGTCAGCCTTCCTCAGGTCAGCCACGTCTGCACTGGGGGCAGGATCTCACGTCTCTGGCAGAGGAGAGTCGTCTCGCGCGAGGGCCTGACGAGCTCTGTTGGTCGGGTCTGAGGCTTCATCTTTTATATTCTTTCCTGGCTAGGTTTCTAGTCTTATCCCTACTTCTACACATAGCTTATAGCTTATCACTACTCCATTTGTGGTTTACTTACATCATTCTATTGCTTATCACTCCTGACCAGGGTTGTTCACCCTAGGCCTTACATGTGTTCCTTACACTGGATCATTTGAAAAGAGCATCAAATGACTGTTTTACTCCCTGACTCTCAGAGTGATGGTGGGCAGTCCAGCCTGAGGACTCAGGTCCAGGTCCAGCCACTCATTAGGAGGGAGGCTTCGAGTACCTCCTTCGTTGTTGCTTTATTTACTGTGAGGCAGTGGTGTGTGCCTCAGTGCTATGAAGATTGAAAGGGGGTTGGGGGCTCTCTGTGCCCCTTTTCAGTCTCACTTTCTGCACAGGTGGGCGCACATTTTGAAGTCTTAGCACAGTCTGGGGATGGCTTCCTGATGGAGGACCATCCCACCTGAGTCTGATGTGAAGGCCGTGAACATCTGAGCAGGAAAGTGGGAGAGAAGTGTTGGAGGAAGAAAGAATCAGCAGAGCCATAGAGAGGCATAGGGAGCCAGTGGGCTGCATGTGAGGAGCAGCCTGTGTTTGCCCTCACTGGGAACACTGTGAGGCCAGCAGTTAGTTAGGGAGCCTTCATCCTGGTGGCATTAGGGGGACAGACACCGGCTTGGCTCAGTTATTTATGAGCAGGTCATGCGCCCATTTTGAGAAGGTGACAGGTGTGTGTGTGTGTGTGTGTGTGTATAAATAAACGGCAGTCAGGGAAGTGGAGACTTGACTAGGGGACAGTACAGCAGCCCCGCTGGGCAAGGGTAATGGCTCAAAAGTGCCATGTGCAGGGAAGAAAAGGGGTGAGGGCTGATGAAGATGTCAGAAGAGCAGGGTGCTGGGCAGATAGTAGAGACCCCAATCCCAAGCTGGCATTTCCACGGGAGCTGGAACAAGCCCAGGAGGGGAGGTGTGGTGGTTTGGCTAGGCTGAATTTGACAAGTTTTAAAGTTTATTACATCTGAGTACTAACTGTGGATTTGTGCTTGAGAAGTAGAGACAGCTAGGGCTGAACTAGCAGGATTGAGTTCAAATGGATGCCAGCAGTGGAAGCAGGAAGCTGGATGGTGCTGATGGAGCCTTTTCTGGGTTCTCCTCCTCTGGAGTTACTTCTTAATAGATGAGTTCACCCAGGTGGTCTGTAGAGTGAAAATGTAAGGTCAAGAAGAGACCTGGAACAGCGAGTGGTGCCTAAGAACTTTGCAGAAATGAGCCTGCGCCTGTCACCAGGCCACACGGCTCATCAGGTTTACGGTGCAGTTATCTGTGGGCCCACCTTTTTCAGGCCCAATGCCAAACGACGGTACAAAAACCAGAAGTTTGGTTTTGGTGGAAAGAAGAAAGGCTCCAAGTGGAACACCCGTGAGAGCTACGACGACGTCTCCAGCTTCCGAGCCAAGGTGGCTCACGGCAAGGGCCCCAGGAAGCCTGGGAAGAAAGGGGCAAATGTAAGTGAGGGGTCCAGGGGGCGCCAGTTCAGTCTGTTTTCAACTCCAAATCTGTTCTCTTGGTTCCTTCTCACCCTGACACAGAAGGCCAAGTACTGTGCGACTACATACGATTTTTGTTTTGTCTGCAGAAGCGGCCAGGAAAACGAACAAGACAGAAAATGAAGAGTAAAACCCGCTGAACAGCATTGTTTTTATAAAGAACCAAGGAAAAGGGGAATGTCCAGACTACAGAACACTCAGAGCTTTTGTCTTTCTTTTTGAAGAAGTTTTTTACTAAATTAAAATTATGAAAGATACTCTTGGATCAAAAGCAGAGACTAAAAGATTGAGAAGTTTGCATATTAAAGAATATTGCTGATTATTGGTAATGCCTTTCTTTGGTAGCTGCACGTTGAACCTACACTTCTCACTTTTTCCTCTCTCCCACGTGGTCCTGGCACAGCCAGTCCCCGAGCGGGCAGAGCCAGTCCCTGGAGAGGAAGGTCTGTTGGGTCAGATGGCCTCTGGCATAGCCCCTGGCTTTTCCTCACCTTGCCTTCTCCACTTACCTTCTTTTGTCCTTTGTGGCAGCAGAGGTCGGCCATAAACCATCACTTGGTCTGTTTTCGAACATCACATTATTTCCTGGGCCTGGTGTTCCCTGTCTTCTGCCTTTTATTGTGTTCCATTTTTTCAGTTTCTTTTTTAAGAAAATAGGTAAATTTATATCTCCCATTTCTAAAACTGCCTTTAGTTTGACTGATGTGAATTGTTGCTTAAGACGGTGAGGACCCCACCCCTTTGTCCTGGAGCCTCCTGTTGCCATGAGGAGTGAGGGGCTTCTTCCATTCTCTCTCATCCTTCCCTCTTAGAGCTCCTCTGATATGGGAAGCCCATGTTTATTCTTTGATTAGGCTTCTTGGAAAGATTCGGGCTTTGCTTTTTTGCTTTTATTTATTTATTTATTTATTTATTTATTTATTTATTTATTTATTTATTTATTTTTGAGGAAGGGTCTCTCTACATAGCTCTGGATGTCCTGGAACTTGCTCTATAGACCAGACTAGCCTCGAACTCACAGAGATCCTCCTGCCGCTGCCTCCCGAGTGCTGAGATTAAAGGCATATGCCACCATGCTTGGCAGATTCAGGCTTTTCTCCCCACCATCTTATCCTTGGAACTTCTGCTTTTCCACAGTTGCAGTGTCCATAAGCTTCCGGGATGGGAATGGTAAGTTTGAGAATATTTTCTACAGTTCTTTATCCTGTCTGTCTGAACTGTCTCCTTCCTTGTACATTTGCCTCCCAATTTTTTGTTTTGAGACGGTCTCATGTAGCCCAAGCTGGCCTCAAACTGATCCTTCCTTTACCTCCCAAATGATAGGATCACAGGCATGTACCATCATTCCCCCGCTCAAATTTGTTACTTTAATATTTATGGCTGTAGTGTATGTGTGTACAGTGTGTTGATGAAGTCAAGGTAATTAATGTTTTTGTCTCATTCTTACTGCTTTGTGTCCAGAGATTCCTACTAGCTCCTAAAATAACATGACTGTGGATTAGTTAGCCCCACTGTGCTGCAGATACTTGAATTTACTATTTTTATAGCCCTCTCCATCCTGTCTCTCTTTCACATGCAAAACATTGCCCACCTCTCAAGTTAGAATCCTAATACAGTCCATTCTATATCCAATAGTCCTTAAGTAGTCCCTTGTTTAGTATTACTCTGCTGGGGTTGTGTAGTAATCTACCTTGATCAGAATATCTGAGTTCAAGTACTTCATAAAGAAGAAGTTTATTTAGCTCAGCTTTGGAGACAGTTACATCTGCTCAAACTGATGAGGGCCACATGGCCTGATGGTATCGTGATGACGGGAGATTTTACAGGAAGACAGGTATTGGGGCCAGCATTATTGTTCTTTAACTGGCTTTTGTAAGAACTATGTGACAACAAGAAGGAGGAGGACTCCAGGGGCCAACCATCCAGCTACACAGCAAGCCACAGAGTAAGAGTAAGATTTACAGAAATAAGGGGAAAGCCCAGAGGCAAAAGATAGACAGGATAATTAAAGTTAAAGCTGGCTAGAAACAAGCCAAGCTGAGGCTGGGCATTTATAATTAAGAATAAGCCTCCGTGTGTGATTTATTTGGGAACTGAGTCATGGGCCCCTCCAAAAGAGCAGAAACAATAACATTTTGGCACCCAATGAGGGGCTCAAATTTCCATAGTGCCTGAGAAAGCTTTAAGAAAAAAATAAAGGGAGGAGAAAGAGAAGTAGCCAGAGAAGGAGGAAGTCTGAAGGGGCCAGCCACCCAGCTACACAGCAAGCCACAAAGTAAGATTTACAGAAGTAAGAGAACAGGAAAAGCCCAGAGGCAAAGGTAGATGGAATAAGTTAAGGAAAGCTGATAAGAAACAAGCCAAGCTAAGGCTGAGCATTTGTAATTAAGTATAAGCCTCTGTGTGTGTATTTATTTGGTAGCTAGGTGGCGGGCCTCCCAATGAGCAAAACAACAACAATGTGTACCAATTCCACCAATGTCAATGCCCCTAGGACCTGATACCTTACTCCAGGACTCTTAAAGGACTTGTCACCCCATCATTCCACCATGGAGAGGACCATATGCCTTCAGCACATGAGCCCTTGGGGGCAGATGGTGTCCAGACACAGCAGGCAGCTTTTCCTAATATCTGATGAGCTGATCTGAGTTGGAGATGCTGAGATGCTCCTGAGAAGCTCTACAGTTGTGGCGTGTGGGTGCTTGGGCCCCTTTGGATGCTGGCCCTCACTCTGTGTTAAGAGGGGAGTAACCAGCTTGTCTTCCCTCTCTCTGGTTCTGAAACTGATTTGTTTTTAAGGAAACTGAAAACTAGAACCACATGTATTATTAAGCAGAAACTTTTCATGTTTTCTTATGGCGTAGTGGTGCGCATGTGGGATAGTTCTGGTTTTACAGGCTAGTGAATTTCTAGAACCAAGTAAGTAGTTTTGGTGAGCTCATTTCAGCTAAAAATTCTCATCACACAGGTGTGTTGTCAGAAGACCCGAGATTAACAGTTGACAATACTGATGAAGCCTAGTAGTAGTTTATCACCTAGTTATTCCAGTGGGAGCCTCAGAAGCAGAAGCTTAGAGTTCTGTGTGGAGCATACTGAAATTTAGGAAAAAAGTTTGCAGTGATGATTTATGGATGCTGCACCCTTTTAAAAGGTTTAGAAATGATTTATCCCCTATTTTTGTTGAGCAAAGGCAGCAGAGTCCATTGTACTAGTTCAGTATCTTCTATAGGACTTCTATCATTTCCTCTCTCATCCCAGCCCTCAGAATAAAGTGATCAGTGTGCACAGTAGTATCCATATCGCTTGAAGTGTAAATATTGTCATATGCATTGAAAGTGAAGTAGTTCCCAGTGCAGAGTAGTTGTACTTTGTGCTCTGCACAATTGCAGTGTGGATGAATTTCACTTATCAACATGTTAAGTAGCAGCTGGTTGATAATGCTTCACATTTTCATCACTTAAGTGTTGCTGGGAGTGGTTTTGTAAAGTAGAAATCGCTTGTCATTTCTTCAGTCCACAGGGTCACTGCCTAAAAGACTCATAGCTTGGTGATCTTGTGTCTGTTACTCATTTTAAAAAGGCACATGAACAGCACTGTGTGGTTCTGTTGCCTTCTGGTCCCTGGTCATAAACTCACATGTAATTTGAGTTTTTAGGAGAACTGACCTGCAAAGACAAATGTGCACACAGAAATGAAATACCAAGACTGGTATACCGCTCAGAAAGCAGCAGTGTCACAGTAGAAATAACTGATGTGGGATGTCATTGCTAGACGCTCTAGATGGGAGACATCCACCCAGAGACACGTGGTAGAGAACTTCGTGACACAAGCATGATGATGCTCCAAAGAAAGTAACAGTGGCAACAGACTTAAGACCCTCCGAGAATTCACGATGTTGAAAGCATGGTTAAGATGTCAGAAGGGAATCCAGAATGGGAGGGAGAAAGACAATTTGCCAAGGCAGAGAAAAGCAGCGTTGGGCCATGAGATGGCTCAGTGGTTAAAGGTGCTTGCTGCCAAGCCTGCTGTCTTGGATTCATTCCCAGGGACCCACATGGCAGAAGGGTAGAACTAACTCCTTCAGGCTGTCCTCTGACCTCCATATGTGTGGACACACATACACAATACAAAATGTAATTTCGAAAAGAGATGCTTCATGGTTATCACCTGCTGGGTCCTGAGTTCAGTTCAAACCGAAAAGCTTATTCAGTGTCACAAACTGTAGTAAGACAGATACCTTTTCTCTTTATAAAGATGAACATTTGGATCATAGTGTGCTGTTTTACATTACAGCCTACTAAATATTGTTTTTACAAATTTTTTCCTGTATCTAACAGTCAATGTTAAAAAAAAATACCTTAGCTGATTTTTGTAACGGGTCACAGAATAATTGTAATTACTTTCCCAAGGATTACAATCACTTCATTATTTCAGCCACTACTGTACAAAATGAAAACTATATTTTGGGTGATTTGGGGAAAGATAAAAATAGAAATATGGTGACTCTGTGGAAAGGAACAGATCTACAGGAACACAATGATCACATTCAGAGGTTAACCTTAGGACAAAAATTCTCAGTGGGCTGGAGAGATACTTAGCAGTTAAGAGCCCTGGCTGCTCTTCCAGAGGACCCGGGTTCGATACCCAGCACCCACATGGAGGCTCACAACTTTAGTTCCAGGCATCTGATGCCTTCTGGCCTCTGCAGGTACCAGGCACACACACATGGTGCACATAACATACATGAAATCAAAACACATAATCTAAAAAGTCAGACTCAGTTTATATCATAAATTAAGATTCACCACCACACCTCAACTCCACTATTTAGGCACTGAAGTGATTGCAATGCTTTGCAAATTGACTGAATGCCCAACAGGACCTTGCAGTGTTTTTTTTTTTTTTTTTGGTTTTTCAAGACAGGGTTTCTCTGTGTAGCTTTGCGCCTTTTCCTGGAACTCACTTGGTAGCCCAGGCTGGCCTCGAACTCAGAGAGATCCGCCTGGCTCTGCCTCCCGAGTGCTGGGATTAAAGGCGTGTGCCACAACCGCCCGGCATCTTGCAGTGTTTTTAATTCAAGATATTAAGTAGAAGTCATTGATGTGGATCTCTGCATCTCCCTCCATCAGTCATTGGAGAAAAGCTCTGTGATGACAGGATATTCACCAATCTGATCACTGGGGCAAAACAGTTTAGTTCAGGCACCATCTCCACTATTTCTAGTAGTCTAAGCTGGGGTCATCCTTGGGGATTCCTGGCAACTTCCCTAGCACCGGGTTTCTCTCTATCCCCATGATATCTCCCTCAATCATGGTATCTTTC